CTTGACCACAACTCTTTCGTCCTTCCATAACACGCATTGGTAGTGAAACCCCTTGTCTGATTACAGACTGCAACGAGATAGCTAAAAAGAAGTCATCAGTGTATGTGTATTTCATACCTGTTCTATTTCAACCACTTTTGTTATTTGCAAGACTTAGGCGCAGGCGCCTTGTTGGCACCAGCGACCAGCACGTACCAGCAGATCTCATCACCCAGGGGCAAGACTTCCTCATAATCCTAACTATCTCCACTGCCTGCTACTAGCGTGGTAATCAGCAGTTTTAAACATGCCGTGCTCCCCTGGGTTGCAACGTTCACGCATGCATGTGCTACCAATAGTGCAGATTGGATCAAAGAAATCCGACCCCCTTCATAGCGAACCGTGCCACATTCAAACCCAGGTGCAGCATGAGGTTGCATGCCTTTACGTCCACACTATAATGTAGGACACTAGATTGTGGGGCTACGCAGCACGTGGAGTTGGATTTCTCTGCCCAACTGTCCGTGAACTCTATATCTTGACGCTACTTTTCGTATCAAACCCATGTACCTGCACAATGTAACACATGGTATGATACTGGTCTACTACTGTGATCCTCGATAGTAACAAGGCCACTCTTGATGTTAATGATTAAGGAAAGAGGTGTCGCCAGCAATGGCGGTTGTTTTCAACCGCGACCAATACCTCTAGGTCTGAAGCCATGGCTGCTCAGTGCCAGCTTCCTTCTTCCAGATGCCATAAGAAGTAATAACCTCCTCTCTCTCTCTCTCTCTCTCGCCTAGATCGAGAAGTTACTATCAGATACAAGCTACATGCGGGATTAAATACCATCGACGAGAACACGACTTTCCCGTGCCTGCTTCGCTGTCTGTACGAGTAATCTCTCTATTGGCATCAGAAGTGAAATACGTGCATGTACATGTAGATGTGCCCATGGAGCAAGAGGAACGGGCCTGGAGAGAAAGAGCAGTGTAGATCTGCACCATCTAACCTCTGTAGAAATCACATTCACATAATTACCTAAGGCTATCAACTGGTCGTTCAGGAAAACCTTAGTGAGAGTCGCCATAACTTCAAAAGACCTACTTGATGGTACAATGTTGCAATGTGTGCTGTGGTCTTTAGCCTTGGGCCAGTTAGGGGGATAATACAGTGATTGTATCAGCACGTGCGTACAATGCACATCGCTCACCATCTAACTGTAACTAGCACTTAGTGCAACATACCCCGGTGTACTGGACTTGAACAATACTAGTGATGACACTGTAAGATTTCCGCACACTAGAACAAGTAGTGAAGTAGTGAAGTAGTGAAGTACACTTAACAAATTCAAAATGTAAGTTTAGCCTATGTAGGGATATGTAGGGACATTGATGATCATTATGATCTCTGGCGATGACGTAACAATACCACAGGAGTGTGTGTGCTGTATAGTTATTACTTAGTAGTAGAAAAGACTGTTTGTGGTACGGAATGTTGCACTGGTGTAAGTAAAGTAGTCTTACCAGGCACCTCATTGCCCCGATGACACGCTATTACCTCATTGCCCCGATGACACGCTATTCCACAGCACATTACTTGCCCTGTACTGTGTAGCGTTCAGGATCAGATTGATGCTTGGAAACGGTCGGATGGATACACTCACCGAGTGATTCGCATTGCTCAGTCCATGAACATGTGCTCAGTCCATGAACATGTATGTGACAAATATGCAGGGTTCTCCGATTTGGAATCTTCAAGACAAGAGAGCAGAGCCCCCGATCTTGCCATCACGAATGCTGGAGCTCTGCGGAAGCGGGAAGGAAGGAGGTCCGCGGATCCCCCTGGCATGCATGCTCCATGGCACAAGCATGGCACTACTATTGGTAGCTGCTAAGCAGCCATTGCCATTGGGTCCAGTGACGGTGATGCTGACGATGCTTCACTATGACTAGTAAGTAGTATGAGGCAAGGTACTGCGTCACCCTGGCGCCACGGTATATTTACCCTACTGTCGCTAGTGTACCGGTGACTGAACTGCATGATGCCATCGTGGTATGTACTCTCATACCATGTACACTCAGAGCGATGTGGGCACAGCTAACCAGGCAGCACACGTTTGCAAAACCAAGTCGGTGGCCCTGATGATCATGGAGAGCACACGTACACATTGACACAGACAAGGGAGAAACAACTACAGCATACATCGTACAGTGTAATGAGGTACGTGGCGCTCCAGCTCTGGCTGACGGCTAACTGAAATATTGCTGTGCGAATACAAGGAGTGACTTTAAAAGCCCATAGCACGCAAACATGCATCGTTTGCACTTCGTAACCACACAATCATGCCTTGCTGTAATTATGCTCATGTGGGCAATTATGGGTAATAAGGTGGGTAAGAGAACGAGTACGTAGCATTAATTTAATGTCTGGCATGTTAGCCACTAGTCTGCCAGGGCTAGTCTAGTTGCACTGGAACACTGATGTTCAGCTGCAGACTCTTTCCTGTCGCAATGTAGCCAGTGTCACAGACAAAGCACGCCCATGTTGCCGTTGTATCGCTGCATGGGCGGCCATAGCAGACCCGGTTTCGTTATTACAACGCGATTGTGTGCTTGTTCCGCTCAACATAAGGGCAACACAGATATGGACAGATATTGTACGTTTATGCGTGATGGTGCGCAAGATAGAACCAGTTCAATCACTACATAGACTCCAGTCCTGGCGTTAAGTTGCGTTCCCCTAACACGGCCTAAGTCAAGTACATGTACAGTCATGTACACGTGTATGTAACGCATTGTGCGGAACACTGCCAGTTCCAATCTGCCTGGTTAAAACCGAAGACAGCATGCAAGCAGTGCAGTATTGCATGTACGGCGAACACGGAACATTGACGGAAACAGCCAGGGCGGTTAAGCCACGTTTGTACTGGCTCTGGTGGCATGCCATAGACTGGCAACGGAAATACGCCAGGGCGCCCCGCCACTGTGCCTGATCTGCGAGAGCAGATGGAACACCACACACGATGACCTCGTAAGAGTAACGCGTCGCACAGGCAATTGGGAGATAGGTACATCTAATTCTGTACCAACTCTACTGTCATCATCTCCATCTCAATGCCTTTAGCAGCGTACCAGCGCGCGCTGGGCCAAATACAGTCAGGCCGAGCGTTCGTCCGTCTTGGACGTGATTGCGGTGATTTTGGCAGCCGATGCCTCGCAACATTCCAGTCAAGAGTACAGCCAACACTGCACGCTCGAGAAGGACAAGGGAAGAAAGAGAAGGAGAAGGTCATGATACTATTGATGAATGTATTCCAACATGTATGATTAGGACAGTGTTGAAATCCAATCTAGAATATCACAGGTGTATCTCCCTTTCACGAAATGCCAACGAAAACAGGAGCGGGCACAAACAGCACTCCCAGAATTGTTACAAGTTCTCGAATTGCTTTACACGCGCCTTCTCGTGTAGCAGCGCCGGTGGATGGGTGGCGAGCAGGAAGTTGAAATTCATCGTCTCTCAATTGAGCAGCATCCAAGTAGAAATGAACTAAAGCTAGAGACTGAGTCCATCGGGCACGGGTGCACACCCAGTGACTAGCAGCGATCTCCAATGATTATCTCCAATCCCAGGTGCCTGACCCAATCTGGGCAAAAAGAGAGCGACCGTATTGGCATGATGGCCCGGAAGATGCACATGACTCGCTCGAAGCCTTGACATAGTGGTAGGGCTTTCAGAGCGTTCGGGCCATCGGATGACAATATCCCCTTGGGTCCGGCTTTAGAAATTCCATTCGCATTTGGGAAGGCAAATTTCAGGTAACGGTGTTTCTCTAGGTGATTCTGTAGCGGAAGAAACTCCCTCCATTGGCCGCATTATAGGAGATCAGCGTAACTGCGGGGCGTTATTAGCCATGTAGTTTGGTGGCGGGCACACCAGGAAAACTGCACCTAGAGCGCTAGCGGCGGGCACAGGACTGCATGGGTGATGGCGGTGGTATGTGCATCATGTGTGGGGCTGGCTGCGTGGGTGGTGGTTGGGTACGTGTTGTAGAAACCGCCTTTACATGTACATACACTGCTTCTGTCAGTGCTCGCCCTGCGTAAGGGCCTATACGCGAGAAGGTAATGTGTGGCAGCCTCGGATCATCCGGTTCAAGCGAACCGGGTCGCTGTAACCGTGCGGAGTTGTTGCGCCGCGTGTTGGCTTGGCTACCCTCACAATAGCAGTATCAAGTCCAACAGTTACGGTAGCTGTAGAGACTCACGAGCACACACACACATACTAACGACTTTCTACTTTTCTGTCCTCCCTAACATTCGGCGTGGAAGCAAAAATGCTCCAGCGCCGTGGTGAAGCGGTGATACTGCGAACCTGCAAGGTCACAATTGCACACTGTCTTGCCGCTGGCACTAGAAACATAGGACAAGAGTATGCATTGCGCTGTAGGTGAACATGGGAAAGCTGCAGGTGAGAGCGAAAGCTTCGCGGCGTTGGATGACAGGTTGGACGTCCAGTGCGGCGTGAGGAGGCATGATAAAGGGCAACGCTGCCTCCTGTCAGGGCTAAACGATGATGCCATCCTGATTGGTGCACTGTATCTGTAAGTTGTTGTTGCTGATATGAAGCTAACAAAGCTAGTGCATATCTCCCCAGAACATAAAGACAAAACCAAGTCGAACCCCACATACGATGGCGACTATTTTTACAGGCATCGTTCAGTGAAGTCGAATGTCGCTGCAGGAATTGCACTGTGGCCTAATTGATGTCGCAAGCCGCAGGTTCTAGTCTTCGTCGATTGGCCGCCGGTCCATCGCACTCACGCGAGGATCGCGCGACAAGCACATAGAGATATAGCGCTGCTGCTACTGAGTACTGTTGCTGCTGGCACTGCTCCGGCACAGGGTTGTTGGAGCGCCAGGGGCACCCCCCCCCCCCCCTCGATCGATCCGTTTGATACTCCATGGCGTAGAGTTCCGCTGCTGCCATTACTCCACACTATCCTATCGTCCTGACACTCGTGCTCGTGCCACTTGCGATGCAACTGCTGATACTATGATAGCTAGTGGTGGCAGCAGCACTGCCGGATCAGCTGTGCCTCTTCTCTCTGCTCAGTCCTGCATGAAAAGAGCGTGCCGCATCTCCGTCGGGTTCAGTCCGCGCCTGACTATTACGCCCGCCACTCGTCAGGAGCACGTTGGCAAACCGATCGCGCGAAAACTGCATGTGATTGCAGGATATCAGCTGCAGTAGGTCAGAAGACGACAGCAGATAGTATTTTGTTGCTGCAGATTGTGGAGGCTCTGCTGACTGTGTGTTGCTGCAAAGGCCTTCAAGCAGAACACCATCAGCCTCTTCAAGTCTGTGAGTGAAAAGAGCTCAATCAGGAGTGAATACAGCCATTTCCTCTGCCGATCACATTGTGTGCAGAACACTAATCTTTAACCAGTCTCTGAAACGAGATTTCACTAGCTGAGTTTATCAGTGTGACAGTGAGAATAACTTCTCGGTCACTATTCTGCGGTTGCGTTCGTTTGAGCCTGTATCAGTAGAGCTGAAGGCCCGAGAGTGACTGCGATACAGAATGGACTCGTGCACTGAAGTGTTTGGCAGTGGAGACAGCGACTCTATTTTCCTGGACCAGCATTCAACAGCTTCCTCATCTCCGGCACCCAGTCGCCACGCGTCCACGGCAATTTCACCGACCTCTCTTCCTTCGGCCGGATCGTCTCCAAGGATGTCCAGCTGCCGAAATGGATTTGTTGGAGGTCAGCATCATCAGGGACAACGTCGCTCACCACGTCTTAGTAGCAATGCCAGTATTATTACCAGTAGCAGTGAGGCCAGCGCGTCGAGCAGCGGAAGCAATCACAGCAACTCATCCAGGGGTACAGCCAGCTGGGGAAGCATTGCCAAACATCGACCACTGAAATCCACCAGCGATGGAGATGACGGTCTGTTGAAGGTTGTGGACAATCTCCGCCATGCCAGCCAGTCTCTACGCCAGGTTGTGTCCAGCTTAGCGCACACGTACGATGACGATGTGCTGCACAATGTGCAGCAGTTCAACGAGCAAGCAAGGGCTGCGGAGAACGGCACGGACGCTGCACCCAGACAGCATCTGAAGCTTCGACGACAAACCCAAGGTGAGCACCACGTGTACTAGCCTTCATTCAAATCCTGAGCTTCCTGTCCTGCTAGTCCATAACAATATTAACCGTGATACCCTTTTAATGTAAGTCCATCATTCCTAACGAGTAGCAGGACATCAAAGCTCCAACATGGCGTGTTCAGGTTTATCACATGTCATGGTGCTGGTTATTTTACTGCTCCCTGGCATGTCGGTATGGTCTAGACTCTAGGCCTAGGGTCCGCAATACTAGTATCCCTTGCCCTATTAACCAGGTTAACTCCGAAGTATGTAGATATATGCACTGTAGGGAGTCATGCACGCCTTACACAAGTCGTTACACTGCCATGCAACGACGTGTTTCTGCTACAGCCCCATAGACTAGTAATGGCATAGTGTGGTTGCCGTCGGGTATGCGGGAGGCTTCCACAGTGGCACAGGGTGGACGTGTCCACAATAGGTGGCCGTGCCGCTGGCTAAGCCAATGTGGCCTGGGACACCAGTGACAGAACGTGCGGTACACTATTCTGCATCGACACATTCTGCATCGACACACTACTGGTTAAAGTGGTTTTAGACTACATGTACAGGACATGATATCGAGTATTACATTGGATAGTATCCAATCGTTTCCAAGGGACGTAATGTACCCTCCATTATGTGTACTGGACCTCGTGCGTGCGTTTCACCCTGCCATCGCGATCTGACTGGACATGAGAACGTGCCAACGCAGTGAGGTATTTTGTAGCTTGTTATGTGCATGTGGCAGGTCGCTCTCATCACACACCAGACTACAGTGCCAGTGGTACAACAGAAGAGGGTTGGCTGGGCCATTGGGACGACTGACTGCATCAATGATGCAATAATAGCCTATGCCCTTGTACCACATTGTCTATGTCGCGAAGGTGAGACCCTGGTTCTGCGCACCTGGATTAGTGGATATACCGGATACAGCATACATGCGCTAGTTGTACTGTCTCGGGTGCGACCTCAGCAGAGTTCTTCAGACAGACAAAGTCCTCAGACAAATCCTCAGGATGGGAACGCAGACGTGAAAACTGACCATGGAGTGAATGAGAAACTCGAAACCAGGACCAAGGTACAACGAAAGGATCGTGTTCTCTCGACAAGTACAAGCGCAGTGTTTACCAATCCCCCCCCATCACGTGCGTTCACTTTGTGGACAGTATGTGCAACAGAAGAGCTGTGTAACGGCTGCTTGCCGCGCGAAAATGCGCACGTTGCCCATGTAGCGACACGTGGCGCGGCCTACTTCTCTGCTGGTTTCGTGTAGAAAGTTACCCGACCTCTCGTAGCGTAGTGCGCTAATGACGACACGATGCGGTAGCCGGTGGCCGAAGAGAGAGGGGAAACCTTACCTAGAGACCAGTGGAGAGATGACAAGGTCAGAATTCCAATTACAACCCGCTGGCCATCAAAAAAGCCCATTCTCGCTTCCCAGTAACTCGATCTCATCCTTTGCCCTCACACTAGTACTGTTTTTTAAACTTGAAAGGTGATGTGCTCCAGTGCTCCAGTGCCAGTGGGTATTATTAGCTTTAGGAGATGGTAGATCTACTCGTTCAGGTAGGTAGGGTAGGCACGCTGTTCTCAGTGTTATGGTATTCGTTCTGTGGCAATCTGAGTACATGTGGGTTAGTGCCACAGGCACGGTGCACAGGGCAGCATAGCTAGACACCAAGCGCAGACTGTAGCCATTGTGGCACAATGACATCGGTGAGGGCTAGGACGATAACTTGGATATGGTGCGTGCTGCAGATATCATCCTTATCACACCTCTGCGTGCCTGATATACACACACACCACACTCCACACACACACACACACACACACACACACACACACACTCTCTCTCTCTCTCTCTCTCTCTCTCTCTCTCTCTCTCTCTCTCTCTCTCTCTCTCTCTCTCTCTCTCACACACACACACCACACTCCACACACACACACACACACACACACACACACACACACACACACACACACACACACACACACACACACACACACACACACACACACACACATACACACACACACACACACACACACACCTCAGATCTCAGACCTCAGACATGCCCATCGCGGGAGCGATGATAGCGAACAGCTATGTTAGACATAGCAACTTGTGCTGGGATTACACCATTCAACAGCTTGCAAGGCTGATGAATTGACTGCCACTATTTTCACACACACACACACACACACACACACACACACACACACGCACACAGAGGAGCTCAGAGAAGGTCAGTCTCCGGTACGGGCTAGTACTAGTACTAGTAGTAGTAGTAGTAGCGCTGCATAGAACTGCAGCAGGACCAGTTATACAGGCAGAGTCGGGGGATACCTTCAGTACAGTACTCAGTAGATCTACCATGATACCGTGCAAGCGCTGAAACAAGGCAACTATCCAAGCCATGGGCCTGGCTCAGCGTATCTATCATGAAAATGATACCGCGGCAGCTGATCTACAGTTGCTGTGATGTTGCAACCTGCCATGCATGTAATGATGTATCTCATATCGGCCTGGACGCCCATACCGCACTTCCAACACAAGCGATAGGAGAAACCACCATCGAATAGCATGTTCCCTACTATAGTCACCATCATCCCTACAATAGTCATCATCGTCCCTACAATAGTCATCATCGTCCCTACAATAGTGGATGACAACATTATCATCACGTGATTGTATCCATCACAACCCTCCCGTCAGCTCAGGCTCGCTACTGCCATGTACCTGCGAACTACTGGATAAGGTCAAAATAATTAATGTTGCTTGCTTCATCTTGGAGCGTTGTGACAGAATGTGCAACGGAGCAATCATTCTGAACAGCGACGTTGTACTGCACGTCCAACGGCTGGGCTAAGGTACAATGTACGTGGCACCATAGTGTGTGCTTCACATTGCCCTATCACTGGAAACACTCTTCTTGGTTGTGGCGTCTCTTACCGAGTGTGCAATTGTGTGACACCCGGTCAATGGGGAGTAAAGCTCGTATCGTCGGAATCTCTCTTCAGGGCACGCGCGGGTGTTACCAAAAACGATCTTTCTGCTCGACGCAAAGATTGGACGGAGCCAGAGCCTGCACCCGTGGGAAATCGAAGCCGACTGTGCATGTGCCTCAGCATACACACGCGCGTGCACGTAGTTATGCCATGCTTGACCTAACCTTGGTTGATCTTGCGTGCCATTCACACTGTTCGCTGTAGGTATCAGCGTGAGGAGTTGTATGTGTTTTGGTAACACCACTAACTGTTACAACTGGCGTCATCGGGTGCACGTGTCTTCTAAAACCTAAAGCGACTGAGAGCATGCTAGTACTCTGCATTATCTGCATAGTCTAGCCCGCCCCAGGCTAAAGGAAGCACTCAACTCTTAAACAGCCTCTTCCAAGTCTGGACGCCTATCCCAAGCTCCTTCTCTGTTCAGAGTCTTGGATAACCGGGCAGTATGGCAACTTCCCCATAATATCTAACCCTCACGACGACGTGAATACAGTAATAGTCATACTGGCCGAAGTTGTAAGTGAGAAAAGGTAGCACTAGACTGAAGATTTGGTCAAGGCACCATCTTATCGCCTGCAACACGGCTCATGATCTCATGATCTCTCACTTGTCTAAGCGGCAGGCATTGCACTGCCTCTGCACGTGCCTCCCAAATTCCCAATGCGCTGGTTTTCCATTCGCCAAGATACTCATCAAAGTGACAGGCAGTAAAATAATAATTACCCTTGCTACAAGCATCGGTCCAGGAGCGGTCGGAGCACTCCAGCTTGCTATAATTATCTCTGATACCTGAATTAGCGGAGGTTCCCTGCTGGGGATAGCGCATGCACGATGTGGAGCCGTGGCGCCAGGCGAAACTACCATCGTGCACTCTCCCATTGTCATTTCAGGTTTTTGCGGCTGGCATGGCGGAAGCCTTGTTTCAGTGAACGTTGACGCCCCTAGACTAGACATACAGGGGAAGGGGAAGCAATCGTCCACTCCAATCTCGACTTCTCTGGCATGGACGCGTGCACGCGACCGCCATGACTGAGAACTGCTGGTTCTGAAAGTGAAAGTCAGCTGCGGAGTCACAGCGTGGGTGCATGCCTCCGCGGATGTGCATGTATGTGCATGCGTCTGTACTGCTGTTCACAACGTCAATGGTTAAATGTATGAAACAGCAAAACACTGGCCTTGTTCAAACCTGTATCATGTACGACCCTGTGTTTGTACGGATAGAGTATGATGGCAGATGGCTTGGTGTGTATGTGTGTGTGCGCGCGCGTGCGTGCGTGCTTGTATGTGTGTGCTTGTATGTGTGTGAGTACTACCAGCTCCATGTTTTCTCAGGCCCCCCATTCAGTATTTAAAATATGCCATTATTATAATCGTGTACTTGTTAACAGTGGTGGTGGAGGTAGAGACGCTCGTATTCGCAGGGTGGGTGATCGTGCACAACTCTTTCCATCATGGCGGTGGGATCGTGTGGGTACAATCCTTTTCTCTATTGCCCAGTATTGGATCTCCTCGACTGGGTTGTGCCACAGTAGTTGTTGCACACAGAGGACAAGACCTGTCAAGATGCCATTCCCTCTGCGAGCATCCTGTTCTTGTTCATGGTCTCGATGAGTAGGAAGGAAGCGATGGAGTCAGTTAGGTGGTCCTGATAATCGTAGTATTTACCCAAGAAGAGACTCGTGCAGTTGGTGCAATGAAGAAATGTGTTGTGCAGAGCGAGTGCGGCCGTGCACGACTGAAAAACACGTTGACGGTTCAGCTGATGCTCTGTCCAAGACGACAAAATGTAAGGTCGCCGTTCGTGCGTCAGACGGGGAGCGATAGTTTCCGACGCCACGCTGACAATGCACCGTCGCTGAGTGACAGACTGGGCAACATGTGCGCTAACCCTGTCACCTTGCCCGTCGAAGCTTGTTGCAAAACTCAGTTTTCGGCATGGAGTATTGCAAGTTTTTAAAAGGGCCGCTAGATCATGAAATCAACTGTGCAGCTAACACAAATCTGTAATCAGTCCCGCCTCGATGTGACGTCAATGAGGCGTATAATGGGTTTAAAATGATTATTCCTTTGATTTTCATAATCATAACCCAACGGTGCACCACAAGTACGAAATGTATTTTGAAACAGTAGATCTTCAGGCAAAACGGTTCACCCGGGTTGCTTTACCAGTGTGAACAACCGGCACACATAATCGTTGACTGCGTTGTGCTGAGCATGATTTCCTGCCTTCCCGCTCCTGGATCCTGGGCAACGAATAAAGACTTAAGTGATATACTCTCTAATGATATCCCTAACGCTGTATCGCGATATCGGTGACTTGTGGCGAGAAGTGTTACCGAGAGGGTGGATGACCCGGGACAAAATGATTCAATAATCGGGTGCATGCTTCATTGTCGCCCAACATTCCAGAACATCCCACTGCTCGTAATGGCAACGTCAATGATGGATGTCGCCAGGCGCTAGGCGTGTGCAGTAATAACTGCTAATAAGCTTTACACTCGGTTTCTCTCTCCCACCTTCTTCCTTCCTCTGCTGCAGATTTGCAAGTTGTGGAGGCGCTGCAAGAATTCTGGTCGCTCAAGGCACTCGAGTCGACCCGAACGGGCGATAGCTGCGACGTGCAGGATTCGACCGTGGTTTACGAGATGGTGCAGCCCAGTATGCATCAGAACGGCTTCGTGGCCTATGCATTCCTGCCAGGTGAGCATGCAGTGCTAGTGCTTGATACATGAAACCATGATAGTCATGTACTTGATAAGCATCTAGACCCCCTAAACCAGTACAGTCCTCTATGCAGACGTGTCGTTGTCACGTCGCTATCGTTCGTTGGACTGATATCCGCTGGTTCCGACCGCCGCGGGGCTAAAAACGTCTTCTGCACACACCTGCAATTCGCTTATAGAAACTGAGATATTAATTTTGACTTTGGTGATGTGGCCGAATCCATGTAATGAGGCGTGCTACAGAAGCGGAAGTCGACAACCTGTGGGAAGGGTTTGGGCAAGCTGAGCGATACACTGAGCGCAAGTCCAATAAAGCACAAAGGCAAATACATGTGTGACAATACATTCATGAAAATGAGGCGGATAAGCAACATGTGCAAGACCCATTAGCTGCAAGAGACCATGATAGCGTGGGTAGGCTGCAAAAGAACAGTCCACCAGGTCTAGTCTACTAGATCTACATGTACATGACTGTGCAGGATGCAGACTGGGGCTTACCCCGGATCATGGTGTACATGACTGTACATAATTATGTCAATGTTCATGGCGCTCCTGAGACCACTGGTTCCACACTGGCCAAGTACATGTATAGTCCATTCAGAAATTCAGAAAAAGATGATATCCTAGCTTTTGGCCATAAACGGGTCAGATTTTGAGTTTTCGTCACAATTTGTTTGGCAATCCCCCATGGAATGCTCTTCCAATTGTGTTTTTGAAGTCTATTTCTCCAAAAAGCAAGCCATAACAAGAATAGGATTTCGGCCAGGGTTTGCCTCCAAAGCATTGAATTGGGGAAAAACCATGAAAATCCAGGCCACTCCACTTGCATAACAGTACATTTGCGGTTCAAACCCCGGTTATGGTGCCTTTTTGGACCCTTTTTCAAGTTTCGAATCACGCGGCACTGCACAGGTACCACAAAATCGCCAAACACGGGAGTTCTCCAGAGCCAGCGCTCATCTTTTTCTGAATGGACTGTAGACTGCTAAAACTCGATTCACTGGTTGATAATCAATTCAAGCAGTGAATCGAGTTTTAGCAATCTACTTGGCCAGGATGGAACCAGTAATGTGAACATAATGCCATGTCGATCTACAGTGAAGCTGTACTCTTTGAGGTAGTTGACTTCCCATCTGACATTCTGGAGATAAAATTTATCTTTGTTGATGCCTAACGTGCTGTGTCTCGTTGTTGATGTGCATGTGTCCTGTGGCTGGTTGCAGGTGGAAGCTGTTTCCGCTCCCTGGCTGTCTGCTCTACGCGCGGAGAAGCACGCCGATCGGCAGCCGAGGTGGCACTCATGAACAGTGTGCACAATGAGCTGCCAAGCCGCCAGCTGTCCGATGCCTACATTGCCACGCTGCTGAGCGCTACACAGCAAGATGCATACAGGAGCAGCGGCAGTAGCAGCAGCAGCAGCAGTAGTAGTAGCAGCAGCAGTGGTAGCAAGTCACGCTGCAGACACCCTCACTCGGTATCACAGACAACACTGGACAACATATCGGAGTGCACGTCGGGCAGCGCGAGCACATCTGGCAGCGGGCAGACATCGTGGAAGTCGGCCGATATCCTGAAAGCCATCCTCCGAGCCAACAAAGACCAGAGCCTGTTATCGTGCAAGGAGAACCTGGTCGTATTTCAGCTACTACAGTGGAGTGGCATTCTGCAACGGGCAAAGTCCCGGGGACTGCCTCTCCAAGCTGTTATCCAGTCGGCATTAGCCACAACACTGGGACATGCACTGCGGCAACGTTGCTCGGCCTCCTGGGCTGAGAAAGAGATGGAGCAGCGCGGCACCATTTCACGTCAGCTGCAAGCCGTAAAGCGTGACCTTGAGCGACTGTGCATAGCCGGACGTGAGACGCGCTTTGCCAAGGAAAAGAAGGACATCCTGGTCGGGGCGTTCACCGACTATCAGCGCCGTCAGCAAGCTCAGTCGAGTGTGTACGACGCTCCAAGCAGACTGCTGGCCGAATACCAACACGGCGGCAGCGTGGTGGACTCGCCACGCCGTGCTACAAGTCACCATTCGCTGGCATTGACCGATGCTGCCACCGGCATGACCAGTGCGTATCCGTACGGCAGTACACAGGGCTCACGGGCACCCTCGTCAAGCGCACGATCACAGCGCACTCCCTACAGACCCATGGCTGCCAGCCGAGGGCCGTGATGTCGGAAATTCACCGTTCATAGTACTATAAACAGAGCTGTTACAAACTCCTTGCAGCCGAATCTCAACCCTATTTTGTAGTGTACTGTTGAATAGATTGTAGAAATTTACCTTGATGTCTCTCTACACAAGAAATGGTCCTTATCTTGGTTCAGTCCTACCCAGAATACTAGTGCTGAAGTAGCATGTGTACCACATGCAGATAGCGCACAGCCATTCACCTAGCTTTGCTGCTGTGACTGACAACAATTGCCTTGTATCATTCTTGAGATCGTTCCTCGTCAAAACTACTACAGGCAGCACCGGCTCCTTGAAACACTGTAATTATCTATCACCATGACACTCTATCACCATGACACCCTGCACCTGGGCATGCACAGTGATTCTGCATTGCTTCATTATTTGATGTGACTGCAATCTACAACAGACATGGCACAGCAATACACAATTTGTGCGGCGTTGAAAGTGCGTGAATTGTGCATGCCCAGTAAATTGGCCCGGCTGCACCAAATGCGGTCATGGAGGAGTTATTTTAAAAGGGCTTGTCGTCTTTCGGGACAGGACTGAATAAGCTAAAATTAAAAAAAGCCAAGGATTAGACATGCCCCTTCACCAACTACTGCATTAAAATCAACAAATATTCGGCAAGGAGGCAACAATCTTAGAATCGCAATCAAGAAGACAAGCTGAGTCGACATGTGGCTACTTTACTCAAACGGTGTCAATCAATGGAGGAAGCGGGCAATAACGATTTGTTTTCCTTTTCATTATTGCACATTGTCTCCCATCGATCGGCACCGTTAAATATAAAGTAGCAGCATGTAGATTCAGCTTGTCCTCATTATGACGCGGCGTGTGCCACATGGCGAGATGCAAACTACACGTGAACTTCTCTGCTCCAAATGGAGTAGAATGTATCATGGCAAGTATATCAACAAATAGTCAATCTAGAATAAAGAAAATTTCTTTCATGATTACATGCACCAATAAAATTATATCTAAACCCAATCTGTGTACCCCTCAGAAAAATCAAAAACCGAATTGAAATCAGTGCACCAGAAAGACTCTTAACATTCCCAAAGACAATCCAAAAGAAGACGGCCAGAACAACTGGCACAGACAACAGCAAGACAAGGATAAATTCAAACTACCTGAAGGACTAGACATGGAGCAAGAGGGACTACCGAAAGTGTCGAAAAGATTGACAGACATAGGAGAGCGGACGGATTAGAAAAGCAAGCGCAACACGAAATAGCTAGAACATAAGCAACGGCAACACCAATCAACTAGAAGACACCGACTAAAGAGCAGCTCACAGACATAGATACGCCGCACCAGAGCCCGGTTTGGTGGCAAACAAAGCCGTCTCGACACGAGCCATGCGCTCCGGGTCCTTGCTGTAGAAATTCTCCCGCACTTTGTCAAGGAAGGAGGCCAACTGTTCCGTCGGCACCACCGACACAGCACAGCCACCCCAGCCTGCTCCGGTCAGCCTTGAGCCGAGTGCACCGGCATCTCTGCCAGGGGGAACACACACACACACACACACACACACACACACACACACGCACGCACACACACACACACACACATACATGCACAAAGAAAAACACAATGTCAGACAAGAACAAAACAGACACAGAAACACAGAAGAGCACCCAGCACTGGCAGTAGTGGCACAAAATTATGTTCAACGTCAGTATCACCACTCATGCATATGTGCAGCATGAGTGGTTCGTATGGAACAAAACCCAGGAACTGGAGTACTTGCACGTCGGTATGTGCGGCAAAAGGGTGGGTTTTAATTTTACACCACGACACATGTACAAATCGTGCCTGTCAAACCCAAGGCTGTGGCAGAAACCCCAGGACAGTTTATGATCGGGTCATTGGCGGCCATTCAAAACTAGGATATTTCTGGGAGAAACGTATGGAAATCGTGGTGTGCAGTGCTACTAACAGTATGGGTAAGTGTTACATGCCTACAGACTTAGCGGTTAGCCAGAAACCACCCCTATGTATGCCCCTGGACTGTTACTGATCAAGTCCAGGGTAATCAATACAACATGGTCCACTGGAATAGATACTGTCAATGCATGTGGTGACACACTAGTGTCACTAGTAGTAGTAAACTTTGGATATCGGTAGTTCCTACCTGCAGATGGCAGTGAGCTCATCCAACTCGGGGCTGGAGCATTCATACAGCTGACTGCAGCTCACGTGGCTTTCGGTCATCAGACGACCTAGTTCCTATGAAAACAGAATGTAAACACATGCGCGCGCACACACACACACACACACACACACACACACACACACACACACACACACACACACACACACACACACACACACGTGTAACCAAACATTAAAACATCCGTAATAGTACACATTCACCATTGTGATAATGCCTCCCGGTAGGATTGGATACCTTGATAATTTTAAGCGTGGAAACACGTAGAGTTGGTGATGTGTGAGTGCATGTAGTAGTTTGGCATGGCTCACAGCTGTACAGTCAGCAGCAGAACTGAAGTCCTGGCACCGCAGAACACAACCCAAACACAAACCCAGTGCATCTACTCGTATGTGTTTCCATCGACTCACACGCACACACACGAGTGCAAGTGCTGGCTGGCCGTTGAGCAGCATACCTTTTCTCCGTCGCTGGCATCAGCAGTCGCTGATGTTTTGTGAACACGAGCTGCCTCGCTGAACACGTGCATAGCTCTGTTATGGACGTTGAACTGCTGCACAGTCTGTGTCTGCGGACTCAGCATCACACTCAACAACTCCTCGTCCTGTAGAGGCGAAAGAAAAATACCAAAACACAACAGCACATTGTATTTCAAAGTAGTCACACATACGTGTAATAGAAAGTGTGCGTAGTTTCCTCACCTCTCAATCCATCATGCTCAAAATATGCACAGTACTTTCCTGGGTACAAAGTACAAACCACACATCTATTTCGGAATAAATTGGCCTGAAATTCCCCCTTGCAGTTCAGGCCCCGAACATGCACGCCAGTACAAATGAATAAAAATTAGATTGTGACATTTCGTCATCGCCAGGAGGGTGCGGCTTATACACCAGTGCGACACGTGCTCTCTGCAATGACCAGACAACTACCGCATTTTTCCGAATATAAGTCGACCTTTTACGACCTAAAAACGGAACTAAAAAGGGGGTAGTCGACTTACAATCAGGGTTTAACGGCCATTAAACGGGGAAATTGAGATCCCAAGTATAGGGCTTCGACTTATAACCGGGAATATACGGTATATGAGTAGACCAGCAGCAACTCCTCGCCACCACTCGGAGACACTAGCAATGCACGTACCAGTAGTAGCTATACCCGTTCCCACCACATACATCACAGACATGTTACAAAACAAACATTATGATTGTGATCCTGAAAAAGGACACGCAGATAAGGTGAGCATGACTTCCCGGCCTTACCGTCACTTCCAGTTTCTCCTGCAACTGTTGTCGAGTGTAGAGACCGGGCTCAAGCTCTGCCTTGACCAGCTCCATCCTGGACATAATGACAAACAGTTACACGATCAATGGTCAAGTACAATAACAATAATGTATGAACAGTACATGTATTGAACAGGTGAACCCACACGCATACCTATGCATAATTATTAATATCAATTATTCCCGGTTGCGTCTTTCCCTCAAACCTGCGAATAGTATAGGCATGAACAAAATCACGAGCCAACATCCATATTCATATCCATATCCATATTCACAAAAGTGACATCCTCCATCAAACAACTCGCACTCTTTCAACAAAACAGAACCAGCGTGTACTACTGGCGCTAGCACTATAGGATAGTGTAGTGTTGTACAACAGAGAGAGAGAGAGAGAGAGAGAGAGAGAGAGAGAGAGAGAGAGTCCATGCACTCACATCTCATCGAATGACTTGCCAAGGGCATCTTGAACCTGTTTCAACTTCTTGAAGGATCGCCACTCCAGTCCATGGTTCTTTGCCAATATCTAAGACAGGAGCAACCAGAGACAAATTCAATTAATTCAATCACAAAAACTTCACAACAGTGGATCAAAAATGAACCAATACTACCCAAAAGAAAGACGGAAGAGTTACTCGAACAATAATACCGCTTGTACTCCGGCCACAGACCAGCTCGAGCCTAGCAATACATAGCCACTAAACTGCTACTTTGGTGATCAGGTTTTGGCACGACACTATTGCCCAATTCTACAACTGCCTGCTGTGTGGGGATCGCTGTAGAGAATAGCTCACTACCATCACCAGCACCTCCATCACCGAGCACCAACCTGTGATGACTACTTGTAGCAAAAGTATACTGTAAACTGCCTAATATTCGCGATGGATTAATGTTCGCTATTTTCGCGAGAAGACCATAACGCGAATATTTTAAACCAGCGTGAAATCAAGCTTCAACAGGGGGTGTGTAGGTGGCCCCGGTGCTTCGCAAACTCGCTGGTTCTAAGAAATCGCGAAAATTTAGTGACGTGAATATTGGGCGGTTTACAGTATACCCCCCCCCCCCAAGAGTGTGCAACTCTTGATACCCTTTCTATGGGGTACGCTGATGGCGAAAACTCACATCACGTGGTGCAGTGTCGCAGTTGTACGTTTCCAGCCCGTTTTTAGCGAGCAGTGGAGTAATAAAAAAAGCACTCTCTGACCGAAACTCACTGCGGGTATGCACATCCCCAGCATGATCATGGCAGATATTCGGATTGCTCGCACGCTATCCTTCGTTTGTACGTAGTACGAACATATTTGAGACACGTGATGTGAGTTTTCGCCGTCGGAGACCCCATATGCAGAGTTGCACACTCTTGGGGGGTTATATTCTCTTGCTTGTAGCTGTAAGAGCCTACCTGCGCAGCTGCTCGACCTTCCACGACTCGCACGTTGAACTGACTGCACGGTGCAGCCTTGTTGATCTCCGTCTGTCCAGACATCGAGAACACACGCACATTGAAAACACACACACACTTCGTTATCACTGACACAGAGCGCAATAACACGCATTTTCCACAGCAGAAAAGCCAACATGCATCACTGGTTAGAACTTAGAAGTGCTCGGAAGTTGCAGATTACCAAATCCCAGCACAATATGCCCAGGAAAAGCAAGCAGAGGCATGAGTTACAGCAATAGAAATCACACAGGAACCCAGCTACCGGTATGCCAAGGCACATACAAGAAGACCCCACGGCCCAGGGACTCACCAAGCTATTGGAGATGACGAAAGAGATGGACTCCGGTAGGTGGCATGTAGTAGCGCGCAGTGGATTGAACTCAATTTGTTTCGCCTGTAAACATCAACAGAAAGTAGAGATATCTTACATTACATACTTGAGTTGGCAATGGCACCTGAAAGCGCAAGAGATGCTGCTTTAAAGAGGCCTGCAAGATCATCATAATCATACCCTTCAAAAAATCCATTTTTTCTAAATTTCACGGTTCGTGTGGGACTCAGTTAAACTGAGTTTAGGAACGCCACCACCCTTAAGGATCATGACGCAGGTGCAGCGTCCTAAGGCGATGGGAGGTGAGTACGCGAGTACATCAGACCCACCATTAAAGTGGGAAAAAGACTGAAAATCCCACCCACTGCACCCATGCTTCCCTCCTGCCAGGCCACCTTCGAATACTAGAATCCAAACATGTACGGGCACACGTACGTACCTTGCCAACTTCACCAAGGAAGCAAATCGATTGGTCCATTCTGTGAGCAAGGATAAGAATGTATAAGCAAAGATGACACCCAAGACAATCTCAGTTCTTACAAATCCACCACTGTCACCAGGGAGTAGTAAAATACCTACTCCCCGATTGCCACCCACTACAGCAAAACAGCGTAACAGCACAACACCTTTACAGACATGTGTGGAATTGATATCTTTTGTACACCAGTTCTGCAATAGCACCTTCAAGAGCAACTTCAACATAGCCCATTCTCTGACAGCGCTAGCTTCAAGCAATCCCGCTGCACCTTCCTACATCAGTATATCAGTGTCTCCTTGACATCAGTGAATCATTCTTTCTGAAGAAGAACAGTAGGGACGAAAGTCTCGAACCCATACATTTGTCCGTCGCCAGCTCTGTTGTCTCCTTGTGGAATATTCCAGTCACTCTGCAGTCACTCTGCTATTGCACACTAGTCAGCAGGTCTGCGCCGGGATCAAATACTGGCTTGCCATCGCTATGGCCACTAACTAATGTCTAAGATGAGTGTAAGCGAACACAGGAAAGATGTGGGTGCTCTTCTTGGCAGGGTGCATCATTAACGACATTCCAATACTACCCAGGGGCGTCGGAAGGTAATTTAGTGTGGTACGGTCAGCCATCTCAAGTACAATTTACTCGTGGGGGAAGGGTGGCTGAGCTGAAATTTTTGGAAATTTAGAGCCCAAATCAGTGCATTTTATTGAATCACGGGGTACTTGGGGCAAATAGTGGTACGGTCAATACCGTAGTGACCGTACCGTGTGCGACGCCCCTGCTACCATAGCAAAGAAAAGTCGTGTCTGACACCTACCCGCCACCCATGGTTCCGATGTACTTCTCACACTTTGCACACAGATCAGCAATGACAACCTACAGCAGCAAACACAACAGCAGCAGCAGCAGCAACAGCAGAAGCAGAAGCAACATACAGGCACACCACAGATAAACACGTTGATTGCGTCCAGAACTTCTTACACAAATCATCTCGCACTACAGCACTGGACTCAAGCAAATCTGGAAAGGAATAGGGGAAATAAAAGCGAGCAAGGGCAGCACAAACAGCATGATGAATTCACGTGTCTAACATTACACTCCCAGTCTCTGTGTGTATGCACACCAACTGCAACCTCAGCGGATAGCATGCAAGGATTTAACTGGTTCTATGTTCACTCCTACATGTATAATAACTCTGAAGGTACTTCAGCATGACTCGGATGGAGAGCCAAGGATAAAATTTAAAAGAAAGGACCAACATGTTACATGTACTTCAGTATGGTCAGTTATTCATCGCAGTGAAACGATCACGATCGGGTACAATTCATGCGTGTCCCGTGTGAAGTCTTAGCTTTGTCCGATAGAGTTCACAGCTACGAATGCCTACATTGACAACTACGAATGCCTTCATGTACAAGCTCACACCGGTACACCTACACCTACACGCCGGTCATCCTCACCTGCTCGTATTCCTTCTGGTTGGCACGTGCCGTGCACATTGCCGCACAGCACACCAGTGCCGAGGAGCTGGAGAGGCCCGAACTCTGCAAGCACAGCAGCAGCAGAGATGCACAATGCATACATACTCGCATCAAGACTGAAACATTCTAGTGTTGCTGCGCTCAAAACGCAGGGGTGCTTCCAATAATAATCAGATCTAACGTTTAAAGCACCGAGGGAGAAATACGACACAGCAAACATACGTTATCCAGCAGGTGACACGGACAGCACTGTATGCATTACCAAACAGGTGACATGAAGCTCTTGCATTGCTAGTACAGTGTACTAGTACCCAACAGGCGGGAATCGGAGAATCCTAGTTTAAAAACACAAACAACTTATCAGATACAAATTCAACACGGCCAATGCGTATGCCTCTGGTGTGGAAGGCATCCAACCACTCAGCAGGTCAATGCATATGATAACTAGCCCCGCGTGGGCAATCATAATCGGGCGAAGGCAACAGCTGGCATGAAGCCACTTGAATTGCGTCGCATGCAACATAATCAACAAACGGCACACGGCTTGCGAGCTGCGCACATAAGCGCAAGGCCACTCACCTTGGGCACACAGCCATCTAGCATCACGTCCATGCCGCACGGTGAAGACAGTGACGCATTCTCGACAACACCCTGTAAGCCATGCAGAAACGCAGAAACAAAGAAACAAAGAAACATTAGCAACGTAACGAGAACAACACTCATAACAGCAAAAAATCTTCATCATCATCAGTCCATGCAAACAATGTGGATGGCATGACAGATGTATGTAGGAACCACTTCTCCAACACGTATGTGACAACATTAGTACAGAGCAGCGTGGTAGACAGCAGGCCACAGCAGAGGCAACAGCACACAAGTGGAAGCAGAGCACAGTACAACAATACTGCAGTGACACACGCAACGTACACCGCAAGCATACACACATCCTGCTGCTTTCATGCTTACCTTCCAACCACACAAGAAGTACTCATGCCAGTCGATGCCCTTGATAGCTACTTCATCAACAGTGCAGATGAAGTCCCTAGCATTGAAGAACAGCAGAGAACAAGCATGACATGGACTTACATACAATGACTTAACCAAGACACAATGTAATGATGCCATGACCCAATCATGCGTCAGCAGTCTTTCTCTCACAGACACCCATATATGTCTCCCAGAATAAGATCACAAATCATTACCCGTAATCGTATTCAAGACATGTTGATATGCTTCATGCAACCCCTTTAAAATTAGCCATTGGCTATCTATAAAGGCGTATCTCCACTTGCATTTCTTTTTCATGCGGCACTCTTTCATCATTACTTCGAAGTACTCATAAGATTGGAATTTTCGGACTAGGGTCATCATTAGGAATCCAAATGATAGCTAATCATCGTCCAGTTTTTATATTAAAATACAAGAGATTAGGGGTGAACGAAGGTGTCAAAGGTTCGAAGAACCTTCGTTTTAATTTGAAACAAACCTTCGTTTTCAATTCAAAAGAAGGTCAACACACGATTTCTGCACACACATGCACATACATGTACATGCACTGATCTTCCTTGTATACAGGAGGAACTGTACTGTAGTTTGTACAGTCGACTGGTTTTGTGTCCACTTGGCTCCCGGTAGGTGCCACTGCAAGTCCATAGTAGGCCACGGACTGCCCTTGAGCGTGGCCATTCGCGGCCAAGGTGTGCAGAAGTAGTCTTGGGCAGTTTAGGGTGCAAACTGCGCACTGCAAAATCTATGGGCGTGTGACTGCACAGCAAATATGTGCAGAGTCATGTACTTTGTAGGGCACGTGCACAAAGTGTGCTTCAAGAGGAACTATGAACTGGTAAAAGAATCATTCGACACCTTCGTTCGTTTCCATGAAGAAGGTTCGTTTGGCAAATTGAGACCTTCGTTTCACCCCTACAAGAGATGCCTACACAGCATGATCAACCTCCTCTGAAAACAGTTATCCCATTGGGCTCCCATTAAAAGGCCAGCGGAATATGGGATGCACTGAGTCAAGTAAGAGTGGTTATAAAATATCAACTCAGAGAGACGCAAAGCACATGCAGCAATACACACCAGCATAGCATGGGTGCCAACAACAAAGCCCCTGACACGGAGCGAGCGGCAAACGGCATGCTCACGCGCACACCTACTTGTACTGCGACTGTGTGTTGGCCAAGCGCAGGACGGGCTTGTCGTGATTGACAGCGACGGCACACACAATATCTTGGTTGATAGACATGGGCAGCACACCATAGCCATGGTAGTCAATGTGCTCTCCTGATACAACGGCGGCAAGAACAGTAGCAACAACAACAACAACAGCAACAGCAACAACAACAACAACAACAACAACAACAACAACAACAACAACAACAACAACAACAACAACAACAACAACAACAACAACAACAACAACAACAACAACAGCAACAACAACAGCAACAACACCGGCAGCAACACAAAAGAACACGAGTCAGAAAAGTCGTTGAACGTGCCCGGCATGCAATGTGTACCAAATGCACACCAAGTTACCCCAATTGCTTTGCCCAGTACCAAGACAGACTAGGAGAAAGCACAGTTGAGAGGAGCATTTTCACACAGTCATGTAAAACTGGTGGTCTGCATAGACAACTCAAACGTATTGTTCATCTACATGCAATGAAACCGGTCTACTTATAAGTTCACCGCTCAAGGGATCATAAAAATACAATCCCCTTGTACAGGTGATCTTCTTACCGGTATCTAGGGTCATTTGACTGGAAATAACCTCCCTTGGTCCTATATATTATACAAGAAGTTGTATACAAGAAATTGTAACACTAGTGGTCCTCTGGGACAGGTGGTCACCTTGGCAGGTTTAACAGTATGTATAACAACAAGTACACTATGGCCAGCTTGCAGGAGTGCCTCAGTATGCACACCGCATCACCCTTACCAATAATGTTCACTCTGCCTGGTGCACGGCTGAAGAAATCCGGCGCACGGCCATACTTCTGGGTAAAGGACTCCTTCAGAGTAGCATACCTGATGCAACAACACAAATTGCACCAAATAGATAAACTCACATACTGAGCTAATAATACAACATACAGAGGAAAGGGACACATGGGCTTATGAGTACATGAAACTGTCCAACACTGTAACTGGATAATATCCAGTCAGAAAGTGCAACAACTAGGCACAAAAGTGAAAGAGTACTGAAACATTTAGTGACCTGACACATAGCTCTCACACATCTCCAATGCGCAAACCAACAGCCTTCCAACTCTGATCCATGTACCTTCTGGGTTGGAAGTGTGTGGGCTGGCGCAATGGAGATATGTTGGAGCTAGATGTCAGGTTGTTATATGTCTCACTTCTCCCTGTCAGTGTTATGCCTAGTTGTCGCACTTTCTGACCGTATGCTGTCAATCGTACCTAAACAAGAGAGTGCAACTCCGCTTGGCTTCGCCCATGGCTTAATTTTTCGTTGTCAAGTTTTCTGGAGATCATGCATCAAATGGTGCTGCTGTATGTATCTCTTAATTTGCTGACCGAAAATCCTATATATAGGATTTGAAAATGTGTGCCTTTTATGCCGTTGTTATTGGTCATCACGACCAATAATAACGACATAATGGTTTTCATGGAAGTTATTAATATGTTTGAGGCATGAATGTTTACATTTTAGATTCATAGGGCGATAATATTTCTGATGAATATCCATTTTCAGCAATAATTGGAAATTTGAGCATAATTGTTCAGCTGCTGTCATGGAAAGGACCGAAGCAGTGAATGTACAGAAGAACATTGCAGGTGTGGCATGGGGTGGTTTCATAACGACGTATCGCACATGCCGTCATGAAACTACCAGTTTTAAGGATAAAACAAGGTCCAATAAAATCTCAAATCCTATATAATAGGATTCGAAAAATAGGGCACAGGCCTTAGTAATATTGGGCAAGGAGATGAGCCTGAGATGGTAGTGTTTGAAAAAATTATCTTATTCAACTCTCGATATCTACTAAGACCTAGCAAGGAAGAATTGGTCACATACTTTTTGCTATTCTCATGCCACACCCATTTTGAGTTGAAAAATATGACCAAAATCCTATATATAGGATTTAGCAAATTAAGAGATAAGGAGGCATGTACTTGAAGTACAGTCAACTTCGCTTATAACAACACTCGGCGGGGCATCAAAAAAGTGTCCTTATTCGCGAAGTGTCGTTATACCCGAAGTCTCATTATAATGTATTACAGTTGGAAGGGACTTTGCTCTGGGCATGGAAATGTTGTCGTTATTCGCGAATTGTCGTTATATCCGCAGTCGTTATTAGCGAAGTTGACTGTATGAGTAAAATAAAAAGCCACAGCTGTCAGCAGCGGGAGAAAATATTCTCACTTTTGCAACCAGAAATACATTCACATGTAAACAAGCTCGCGATGAAAGTCGGCGCCCGGTGTATGCGTTGCGTTTGCTGTGTACGACATGCGCTATGCGTTCTGAAACAAAAGTGACAAGAGGGAGGGTGAATGTGTGTGTGTGCGTGTGTGTGCGTGCATGCGTGCGTGCACGTGTGTGTGTGTGTGTGTGTGTGTGTGTGTGTGTGTGTGTGTGTGTGTGTGTGTGTGTGTGTGTGTGTGTGTGTGTGTGCGTCTTTCTTCTCTTTCTCAGACTCTTCCTGACTTTTCTTTCATTCTCCTGGGTGGTTACCAACAGCCAGTGCATGCCGGAGTATGTGGTGTGATGTGTGTGCGGGAAAAAATAAAATAAAAAAACCAAAAAGTAGGGATTCACTGGCCAGAAAAAGCCACTTCATAGCTGTGTGGTGTAGACCAGGCTGAATAATGGTGGTCAATTCTTCAGCCTTGCAAGCTGTTGAATGGTGCAATCCCAGCACAAGTTGCTATGGCTTTTGCTGTAGCATCGCTATCAACGCCTCCGGCGATGGGCGTCCAATGGTCCAATGGTGTGTGTGTGTGTGCGGCGACCTGAAACACCATCATTCATTCTGTCGTGGACTGGAGAAATAACAATGCGCTATCATTGTTACGCATTGGGCAAGGTCAAGGTCAAGGTGTGTGTGTGCGGCGTGTTGGGGGGGGGGGGGGGCAAAGACACATCATCTCATGTTCAAGGCACCCACACCACGGCTCCCTGACCTGCCAGTACTGGAGAAGTGTGAATCTAGCAAACTTGCACGTGACTCCACTACAAGGAACGCTGCTACATTCAGGATTGTTGTATGGTCTGGTGCGCACATAAAGACTAGTGTATGGCACATCTCCCCACATACAAACGCACGATAAACATTATCTCCATAATTCAGACCCTCGTCAGATTTCAAACCTCTTCCCAAAAGATTCTCAGTTCAAAGAAATTATACCAAGTAGGCAAAGGTGATGGACATTAGCCACTTCAAGTACACCGCGATTCCCTCCCACTCTGTACATAAATGACTGTCCTGTGTGTGGAAACGTTGCTAATACACACTGAGATCGTAAATAACGATCACGTCTACTGCATGACGAACAAATTAATTTCAAAATACGAAATCATCATATCAGCAGCACTAACCGTTTAGCTTGCTGCTCACTGATATCTCCATAAATTTCTTGGAGAGACAGCTGGGGAATTGGCATTCTGGCAGTAAGCTAAACACTATGAGACCATGAGACAGGGAAGACTTCACGTCTCTCTCACCAGCTGCTGATTCTCAAGCAAATACCCTGAATACTGAAATAGCTCGCTCGCTGTACTGCACGGGCAAGGACGGAGATTCGGAAGCTCATGCTCAGGCTACTGCACACAGTCACACCCTCGACGCACCCGCCCGTACCGCGTACCGTGCCGCCGTCGCACAGTCATGATGTCATGAGAAGCCAGTAATCCCCCCAGTATCCATGGTGAAAGGAAATGGCGTCAGAAATGACGAAGATCGCGATGATCGATGGTCGTTTCGAAAGAAAATGCACAAAAAAAGCAGGCACATAATTATTATGTCGTATCAATCACAACAGTTTAGTTTTGGCCTTCGCAAGTAACTTATTTCTAATCGATAACCATGGACTCCTCAGACGATTTCTCCGACGAACTTTCTGGTCCTGAAACCCCATCGGATGCTTCATCTGATTCTGGTCCTGAGACCCCATCGGATGCTTCGTCTCAATCTGGTGCCGAGACTTCCTCAAGTGAAGATGAAGCCGGTGAGAATTAAACATTGAGTTGTGTATCTCACTTTCTCTAGTAAGAGCCCGGGGTTCTTACTATTTCAATGACAGCTGTACCTGCACTACTATTAGAGACTGCTTTTATTGGAGACTGTGCTCAAGAATTTTCTAAAACCTTCAATCAAAGGGATGTTGTCAAAACCGCTGTTGCATACTTAAACATGGGCACAAGAAAGGAAATGCGACATCGATGAGCTTCCTTGAAAGCAAGTGCATACTAGTAACATGTTGTACTGCTATTAATTTAAAATGATTTTATAAACAGCCAATGTGCTGTTGCAATCCGACAATTTCTCTGATGAATCTTCTAGTCCTGAAACCCCATCGGATGCTTAATCTGAATCTGGTGCCGATGCTCCCTCTACTAGGCTCTAGTAAAGATGAGGCTGGTGAGAATTAGACAGAGTTGTGTACCGGATATGTGTTTTCTGAAATATCGGAAGTTGAAGTATTTTGTTTACATTCACGTATGCGTCCATGTGTTGACATGGTATGTACTGCTTTGGACATAACGATATGCCAACATACATGCCTTTCATTGTTTCAAGTGCTCTAGAGTGCGTTGATTCTGCCAAAGGATTCGCCACAGCAAAAAATCAATGAGAAAGATTGTAAAAAAGTTAGCACAGCTAGTTGTAAAAATAAAACCGGCACACTCACAGGATGTCGGACAGGCTCATACCCTTGTCTATCATCCTTACCTAAAATATAGTCCACGGACATAAAAACTGCAACGATGCCCCCAGAAAATTGATGTCCATTTATTGGCAGGTGTCCTATCCTGAGGCCGGTGTTCTACAATGCTTATTCAAGTGAAGATGAGGCCAGTGTGAATTATTTAGATTAGACAGAGTTATACATGTTAGCAACAAATTCAGGATTTGGAAGTATTTCTTTACATGCGTCCATGTGTGGGTGGTATGTACCATTCAGATCGCCATTGCAAAGCAGAAGGCAATGCTGGGATGGCCGACGTCATCTCCAAAATGCTTGGAAAGGACGCAGATGGAAGTCAGGTAATATTCTTGAGTGCATTCATGGGCACAGCCGTGTTCACACTGATGGATACAGTGCAGAATACAGATACAGTCGTCCCTCTCTAATCCGGCACCTTTTGCTACGGCATTTTCTGCTGGATTAACGAGGGTGCTGGATTAAGAAATCCTGCCCTCTGACCCGGCCCTACCCAATTACATGCATGTATCATACGTCAAAACGCAGGGTTTTTCCGTGTCGACCCCAGTATTTGGTGCACGGCTTTATATTCTCACCTTTTCTCCAGGAATATACACAGTGATAAAGTAAAACAGAGAACATGTTCACATGTATACGTACTCTTGCACACACACGCACAGTCGATTTACGACTAGTAGTGATAGTAGTAGTAGTACAGTAGTAGAATTTATTATTTTACTAGGGAACTCCCAACAGGCGTTGCCTTTTTACTGGGAACCCTAGGACTGCCGGATTATGAAATCAAACTACGTGCAGTTTGAGCGATTCGTTTCAAAAAGTCACTGCCGGAGGCGGAATTCAAGTGCCGGATTAAGATGTAGGAATTGAACGAAAAAAATCGGTTTCATCAGAAAGTGCGCCGGTTGGCAAGGGTTCCGGATAAACAAGTGCCGGGTTAGAGAGGGACGACTGTACATGTATGCTTTGTCCCTACATATCGCCCGTTATTATAGGGTGTCTGCATACACTGTACAGTGCAGACATGCCCGGTCCCTATAACGTTGGATGGTTGACTGTTTGTACAACACCATACAGTATAGACATGTCTGGTTCCTACGAGTAGGGTGTCTGTATAAGAAGAACTGAGAAGTTACACTGCATGCGAAAATGATCTCTCATTGATGTGTACATTTCAGCCCTTCGAAAAGGCATGCCTGAAAATCGATGTGATCTGATTAAAAAAACGTTTTATTGTCTTCTTCTTGCTGATATGTTGTACTCCATTGACTCACATCTGTTTTTCTTTCTTTTCCTGCTTCTTTAGCCTGTGATATTGTCGAAACGTAAAGCAAAGCACATCGCAGAATTCAAAGCTGAAGCAAAGAAAAAGAAGGTGAGGTCATAAAAGTGTCAACATGATAGAAGAGTATTGTTTATGTAGCGTGTAGCCAACCCAGTGTCGATGGCCACTCTACGTATCAATTGATCATTATGGAGACGTCGGACAGACGTATGTGTATGCCCCCCCCCCCCCCCCCCCACACACACACACACACAAGGTTTAGCCAAACAAGTTACGACAATCCACAGCTTACCTGTGTGCATTTGGCATTTGTACAGCGTTTCCGGTGTTGTGCACGTGTTGACCAGTGAAGTGGAACAATTGCAGGGAAAGTGAATGCCATCGCGCGTGCGCGCGCAGTAATACATTGTGTTGATATGAGGAAGCAGATACACTGGTTCACGTTCACGCACAGTGCATCTTAACACCAAACCTGCAATTTGTATGACATATTGACCTGAGTATACAGCCACACGTGTTCACGTCGAGGGAACCTTGATCTCTCTCTCTCTCTCTTTCTTTCTTTCTAAGTGCTTCTGCACTTTGTCCTGCTTCATGCTGATTTCTTCTACTTCATGTATTGTATGCAGCTGGCTGTGGCTACACGGCGTGACTGGGAGGAGAGGCAGCATACCGTGCCCAACCTAGCCCGCGATGACCTTGAGCGACGACTCCATGCAACTGCTACCAAAGGAGGTAGGTTACGTTATCAACTGATCACCTTTATTACATGTTTGTTTGCTAACCTGTTTGAGAGTGATTGATTGTGGTTGTTGCCAAGTCTCCTGGTCTGTGTTTCAGAAATTAGTTGTGAGTCTTATTTGTGATCTCTATTTGTGGTTTCTGGTGTGCTGTGGCAGTGGTAAAGCTCTTCAACGCCGTCAGTAAGCAACAGAAGATCATAAAAGAAAAGCTGGAGGAGGCGCCGACAGAAGCAAAGCGAGAGAAAGGTATGATGAGTGCGTGAGAGACGTTTGATTACTTTCTAGCCTGGCATTGCAAGATGAGAATTACCGAGTGATGATCGCCAAATGTGCTCAGTTCCCGTCGTGGTGAAATACTAGGGGCGAGAGCGACAGAGACAGAGAGAGAATGTGACCTGTATGCGACCATGGTAAGGTCGTGAGATTTCTGTGTCCTTTCCTGAAAGAGTCACTTTCAGGCCATCAATTGTTTTATTGCCATCCGTGGCAGGCATGCCTGTGTTCCAAAAATTTTACTTTCTTTTGTTTCCTTGTATATTTGTAGTTGTCACGGCGATCTCAAAGGATAACTTCTTAGATATGCTTCGTGGCGGTAACACTATGGTGACTGGACCGATTGCACGAAAGAAGACTCCAGAAGAGAAACCATCGGTTGATGAAACGGTTAGTTTCCCCTCATGGCAATTCTTCTATGCTGTGTATAATTGCGGTGTGGATTTTCCTTCACGGCCGCCCAGGTTGTCTGTGTGCTTTCTTGTGCGAGTGCATGATCGGCCCGCGGGCAGCCGCGTTTAAGGTTCAGTTGTAGTCACTTGCAGATTCAATGCAGATTAGAAATGGAAATCGCTGGGCTATCTTTTCTTCCGTGTGGTGATGTTTTAGAGTCATCCATATCTGAATTTCCCTCCCCTGCATTTTCAGACTGGGCAAATTTTCTCTATTTGAATCCGCTTGTCGAAATGTACCCGTAACCATGGGCCAGACTTTCATGTCATGTGAACCCTCGTCTTGGAGTGCATTCCTTTGTCCTCTGCCCACACTGACTCTGTGAAAAAGTGGAAGAAGTCCGTTTTTGGCTTTCGTCCTCTGCTAGAATGTGGCAACATGTCCTTTTCTTACGAGTATGCTGCAGTAGACACAGGCGATTCACACAACAGGAAAACGTGCAGGTAATCTGACAGATAGCGTTTGATTCACATAGGAAAACCTGGCATGGCACGAGTACCTGCGAGTACGTTGGTAACCATGGGGACGAGGATTTCGAGACGCGACCAGGGTATAGTACAAACTTTGTACGATTCCATGGTTGCGGCATTTGCAAAAGAGAAAGAAGAAAAACAGTCATCGCATGTGCTTCCCAGCGCTGCATGTGAGCTCGCATGCAGATTTGGATTCCTGTGGGGAAATCTGGTTGTTTGCAGGCGAATTTCCATGGACATGGGCTCTCAAGCATAAGAATGCCCGTCGTGTAAATCGTATACAAATAGTCACCTGCTTGTAAACACGAAAACCTTTGCGATCTGGAATCCTTCGCGGTTTTCGCGACGGGTGTAAAATCGCGAAAGTAAGCTAGCGCTAAACGCACAACTGTAATAAAGAAGCGGAGAAAATTGACTCCAATCGCAACATCTCCAGGTGCAAATTTGTCTGCACGCAAATCAGGAACTGAAACCGGTGCAAATGTTTCCCGGTTTAGTAGGTGAGCTGACTTTTGTGTGGGTGTTGTCTGTGCTGCTTTCTGTCCATGCATGCAGCGGAAAGAAACCCTCAAGTCCATACAAACATTGATGTAATTAGTATCTTGACTGCCCATAACAACCTACTGTCTTTCCTTGCCTGCTACTGTTTTATATAACTTTTTAATCAAACCGTGTACATAAACATGATAGTGCAGTGTATGAAGCTTCGTACTCCATATTCTTTTGTTGACTAACAATCCATCATCAACTTGCCATGAAACTAGAGTAACACGCAGCTTTTAACTTGCTCCATGCCGCTGTGTTGTGTTGACATCGCTATGCTTCTCTCCTTCTCTTTCCCTTAGGCAGGAGAGAGAGAGAGAGAGAGAGAGAGAGAGAGAGAGAGAGAGAGAGAGAGAGAGAGAGAGAGAGAGAGAGAGAGAAAATAGGGAACTGGCCTCAGTCACTACTAGCATAATAATAAGAATACTACTACTTGATAACCGCAATCAATAAAACTAGCTGAACCGACATTTGTGTACTTTATTCATGCAATGTAAAAACGGTGGAGACGATGTGCAATAAAACGATGAAAATATGAAGAAACGGTTGAATCCATAGTTTTTCCCTACACCATTTCTTCATATTTTCATCGTTTTATTGCACATCGTCTCCACCGTTTTTACATTGCATGAATAAAGTACACAAATGTCGGTTCAGCTAGTTTTATTGATTGCGGTTATCAAATTATTGTCTCCTCGCCGTGTGTTTAAATAATACTACTAGTACCCCTTCCATCCACCATACCAGATGCTCATCTCTCAAACTGTGAAAATTTTGCATCATTAGAAAAGAAGAGTTGAAGAAGTCGTAAACTGCGGAGCACAACCAGTTCATTTTAACCAGAACACATAAGATTCCCTATCAGGCATGAACCAACAAGAAGAATGACACATACTACACAACACATCCGGAAAGGATATACCGGCACATACAACCAGATCCACCATACTTTGACAGCATTTCACTACGAGCTCGTACGTAATGAAGGCAGCGTGCCGTGCATAGCACCCATAATAGCTCAGAGATCAGAGATGCACAATCTTGGGGTTATTAGTAGCGTCAAGAGTACATAACCCCCCAGAGTGTGCAACTCCCACATACCCTGCTGTCCCGACAGAATTTCAAGTTGATGTCATTATTTATGACGCAATGCAATGCTCCGTGCACCAGTGATTTACAACATGTGTACGGGTGTCAACGCATCACACGTTTTTCTTTGCAATATTATTTGTACAGGATCGATCGGCTTCGGTCAACCACAGGTTCCGGATTCGTCTGATAATCCGTGTACAGTGCGCATTGCATCATCAAAATGACGTCAATTTGAAATTCTGTCGGGACAGCACCCATAGTGGAGTTGCACACTCTGGGGGGGGGGGGTTATGTACTCTTGGTAGCGTGCGCCACTGTCCAAAGAGTGCACACTACCCATATAGGGCAGCACTCTTGGGGTTATGATTGTACTGTTCCTATCGGCAAGAGTATATAAACAGGTTTATGTACTCTTGCTATTGGTCTATGCTACATTTGGTACGTATACGATCCAGCACAACTTCAACATGTTATGAGAATGTAGCTACCAGTAGATCATTGAAAAATTAGGACACCTGTGTGGTGCACACGTCTACTGTATAATAAGGGTCTCTTGGCATCAACATTTGATTGCAAGCAGCGGGGGAGTCTGCCTGGGATGTCATTGTCAAGGACAGAACCATCTGTTTTCACATACATCTAAAGTTACTCTTGAGGCAGAAGTACACACCGGTTGCAGAACATGGCCACAACCTAAAAGAGTGCATTTACATTTTACAACCAGGATGTGTGCGCAGCATGCACCCAGTACTAACGCACAAGAGAGGTCATACAACTTGCCGTGCAGTGATGGGCATGTTATGATGTACTCTTACAACCAATTACTACACTGTCACACGCTGCTAGGCTAAGACGCATGGTTAGCTTCAATTCAGCTCTAGATGACAGAAAGAAAATAAGACGTAATAGAGAGTGATAATGTCGGCTCCCCGTGTGAATATAATAGAGAGAGAGAGAGAGAGAGAGAGAGAGAGAGAGAGAGAGAGAGAGAGAGAGAGAGAGAGAGAGTTTGGGCAGCACCCTAAAGTGGAAGGTGATCTACAAATTTCTGCTATGTACAAAGCTCTACAGTCTAGGGTTAACCGGGGGAAACAAGATGAACGACTATGATAAATCATATATGGAAGGGACGAATCAGGGCAGACACTAAATTAAAGTAGAAATAGAAATTGTATGATCATGCTTTCCGTTTGTTACCACTGCCGCTGTTGGCGGAATTGCCACCACTGCTGCTACTGCTACTGCCACGCGCAGGCTTGTGGAATTTATTGAATAGCTGGATGACTCGCGGCCGATGGTCAAGTACCTGCAGACCAAAGGAGCAGAACATGACATAAGGACAATTTCAATTACGTCTATGAACGAACAATTCCAAAAATAAACCTCAGTCGCCAGCGTACAAACACCGCATTACTGATGGGAAATAGCATAGCACAGTACACTACATACAGTCTACTTGCGATAAGTCGTGCACTTTCGTCTCCAAGATCGAGTGCGTGACATATCGAGAGTAGACTGCAAACACTACAACTTACACAGTAACAAGTCACAAGTGGCTGGGAGTGCATAAATGCGAGACATTGAAATGCCTCGCCGGTCAACAGACAATAATCTATTACGCGACACAGTGTACATGCACACTGGGTAGTAAGCATCATCCAGTCATACAAGTTGCTCACCAGCAAAGCAGATGACCAGCGAATTACATATATGTATAGCTCGGAGTAATGCTCAATACTTTTGAACGGGCCACTTTGAACGACTTAAAACTAGTGCTGAAACGAGTACTCTATAAGCTATCGAGCGAGTACTGTCACTATCGAGTCGAGTATCGAGTACTCTATAAGCAATCATGCGCATATATGTCAGTACCACATACCCATTTTTTGCACATCATTTACACAATTCAATATCCTTCAATAAACACAAATTTTCATTGCAAAGCCACATGGACGACGGATGTGTACGTCGCTATCAAGTTTTCTATTTATTTATTTATCGAGTCCTTTTTGATATCGAGTCGAGTACTCAACGAGCGGGTACTCGAGTACTCGGCGTACTCGTTTCAGCACTACTTAAAACGGAGATGCAGCTGTGGGCCACTTCCAGCAACAGTAAAACAGTATCCCCAACGGGTCCAATACAGATGTGTGTGCACGACTGTATGCAGAACTTATGGTCAGTAGAACGAGCCAATGTCCGGGCTAGGCTTCGGTTCAAATCAGATTTGTATTTCCAGACAGCTAGGTGTTTCAACCTTGTTGATTCTCAATAGCAGAACAAGGTATTTCCAGGTATGGCAACACACAAATACCGGCTTCTGCGGCGATGATCAAACTTGGAAATCAGGCTTGTGTTCAAAGCAGACTTCTATATGAGACAGGTGTTTATACAGTGCTGCTCCATGAAATCCAATTACGCAGATCGAGAGTTTGCACCCTGCGCTAGTTCACATTACCGTATGTCCGCACCTTTACAGCCATGGCGGTATATTCGATTATAAAGCCAGTCTCACTTATAAAGCCATGGGCTTCATAAATAAAATGACATTTGAGGTGTGTTTTGCAAAAATGAAGGAATAAGTACTATGCTAACAAACTTACAGTCCAGCAGGAAGGGTGAACAAGTCGATTTAGATTGAAGTTTTTGTGTGGACTTTAACTTTTATGGCATGGTGTAGTGGGTGAGTCATTTTGCATCTAAAATAGCTAGGAAAGCAGCGGTATTTCGAATATAAGGCCATGGCTTTAAAGGTGCTCACATACGGTATAGTGTTCGCAGATCTACGTGGGGCTGCATAGTGCGTGGTGTCGGAGCGGCATCCACTCGCTTGATCGGATTTCACTGAGCAGCACTGTTGTACATACTTAGAGAAGCACAAGAAAGTACGGCATCGAATAGCATACTCGCAGACAATCGTCTACAACTGTGGCACTGCAAGGGGGTTTCTCACATGCAACATAACCAATACCATACCTTTTCTAAATGTTGCTTTGTTTCTCTGACATGCTCTACGAGAACTTTAGACCGCTGTAGATTACCCTGCACGTGTGTAAAACATACACCAAAGAAAAAACAACACAATCGAAATGAGCCTTCGGTCTCTGCTATCGGTATCCATCAGCCATGTGTCATGTACATGTTGACTGGTTGTAACAGAAACCAGAGACTGCAACTACGGATCTAGGCAGGTTGCATGAAACTACCCACTCCCATGGTGAAGTGTTTCGTTGAGGTCATCATGAATATTGAATCATAGGGCACCCTGCCACCCAGTAGCCACTTTGACGCCAACTTCACCGCGCGGCCTTGCTCCAGGAGTGGCGTGCTCTGTGGTATGTACTCCTACCGGCATCCCCGCGTCGTGTACTGGCATTCACGTTTAGTCTTCTCATTGAAGATAATAAACACAGCAGAAGTCTCTCAAAGCAATGTGCAAGTGATCTACACGACTACTGTAGTGCAGCGTACCCCCATGTACAGGGTGAAGGGTGATGCAGACACCCAACCAACCACAGCGGCGCCAAAGAATAATAATATATACATGTACGCTGAAGAAAAAGCTCCAAAGATGGACACCGTTTGGGGACATGTAATACACGGAGAATTCGTCACTATACCTTGAGAAGCTCTACAACGGCGTGGAGGTCCTCCGATGCCTTCTTGTCAAGGGACTTGGAGGAAGGCAACTGATCCAAGTAACCATTCACTACGTCGATTTTACTCTTTTCCATCTTCTCCTGCAAGAACGAAAAACAACACCACAACCTCATTGAGCTACCGTGACAAGGCAAGTGTCTCCATAGGTTTAAAGTCTAGTCAGACCCTGCGGGAACATTCCTATGCACAAAGCAATATCGCTCTTCAAGGGCAAGGCAGCAAGAAAAGGTGAGTATTCTTTGCGGGAGGATGGTGACATGCCATAGTGTCTTGTATTAAAGCCTATCGCATATAGAAGCCTGTTTTGAATACAAGCCTGATTGTCAAGATACTGTCAGCACATAAGCCTGGTTTTAGTGGTTGACACACGTAGAAATACCTGGTTTGAATAGAAGCCTAGCCCTGGTATCGGCATCTACGGGAATAAGCCCGGCTTTAAGACGCGACATTACAGTATTCAGAAAAGTCCAACCGGTTAGACTTGGTTCTGGTGTGTGATATTGCAACACTAAAAACATCCACACACTCCACCCCTCTCTTATCCGGACACAAAGGGATCGAAGGGTGTTTGTAACACAACAAAGTCGGTAGTTCAGATCACTGCACTTGTACATGGCACACCTTCTGGCAGGCCATATTGAAGCATACTGCACGAATGCGCACACTTCGTACACGTAGCAAGAATTACTATTCAGACTTGGAACGGTGCCTGGGTAAGAGAGGAGTTCGGAAGAGGGAGGGCCGGTCAGTAAATAGGGAAAGAAGTGGCATGAAAATATAATTCCTTCAGGGAAACAGAAGCTAAAACCGCCAGAACGCCACCCCGGTGATATGTTTACTGGCAAGCATGGCACACACACACACACACACACACACACACACACACACACTGGTCAAGGCCGCAATCATACAACATGATAATTATATGGCCAAGCCAAGAGCCTCTATACTTACAAGCGAGTCGAGGTTGCTAATCATACGGGTAAGTTTCCAGCCTTCTAGGTCTTTAAGGCGTGCTTTCTGCGCAGACAGTTCCGCTATTGAGGGCCGCTTCTCATCTGCAAAACAGTGGCCAAAAGGCAAAAGCATTGCAATTCAGATCAGTCCAAAACAGTGGCCAAAAGGCAAAAGCATTGCAATTCAGATCAGACCTGTCACAATATACTTGCAACAGTAAACTATTAACGACGGCATGAACAAGTGAGTTGCAGGATGGCTTCCTGTCAATAGTCTGCTTCAGAGATCTATGAGCACAAACAGTATCAAAGCAATAAACTCACTAACTCCATTCTATTCCTACCTTTCACTTTGACATCAGTGGACCGCTGGAAGTGATTTATGGACGCCTTGGAGCCAGTGGTGGCCGGCTTGTAGCCCGCCCCGAAATTGGCCGGCATCCTTTTTCGAAACGGGAACTGCTGAATGGACTCCTTCAGAGGCGGCGGTGGCGGCACGGAGTTAGGCGTGGTTGCAGGCGTGGTGCCGGAAGACGAGCTGCTGCCAAGACGTGACTCGGCGGGAGGGACGTTGCTTGCTAGAGGGTCCTCCGTCGTCACCATGTTCTGCTTGCGCGGTTTCTTGCGTGCAGGAGCAGCTACTTCCAAACCAGGACTACTTGAGGTGGACGATATGGAGCCCAGGGACTGGAGCGATCTCAGCGAGTTCTCTAGCTTTGTGGCTGACGAAGTGGAACTTGGAGCTGACATTGTAGTCTTGCTATGGCTGGTGAAAACAGCACATAATGCACACTAACTTAGCTACAAAACTAAAATGTACAGTAACCAGACAGGGCAGCAGGACACCTCGCATCATGTTTCTCGCTGCGATGGCTTCAAACTCGGAGATGCAGATATGTTGGGTTTTTGATTCCGCCAGCCTTTTCCATTAAACCCCACAATGAAGTGAAAGGGTCAGTTTTCGGTACCCCATGTACATCAGGGATTGATTTATTATGTATCACATCGCAGTTTGCGATGCAAAATCGATCTACTGCTACTCAAAAGTTACCAAGACTCGCGGAAAATTGCGATACATACAGGCTACCCATGCCTAGCCTGCGCTGTCAAGTAACATGCATACAGTGCAGTGTATGTAGTGCAGGTACTCTCAATCTGGGTGCACATGTATGCTTCCTTGCTTTTCTGCAAATGGGCGTTCGGGCATCACTCTCAATAGGGACATTGTGGTAAACACCCAACCTTCAAAGAAAAATGCTAATCAAAATCAAAGACTGCTACACAATTGTGATTTCGTATAGCAGAAACTACTATGCAAAAATATGACAGTGAATTCATTCCTGTACATGATTTGCAAAAGAAAAAAGTGTGGCCCAAGCTGCAAGATCACATCTGTAGGTCGTCAACAATAAAGGCTGATCGCAAGACACATACATATCCATGCCAGTTGCTACAAACACAACATGGTCAAACTGAGCCCCGAAAACACGGCAGCCGATTGACCCGAGCAAGTGCATAATACACTGCAGAGGAAAACAGAGTGATCTGTACACAGGCCAAGAACAGCACAATTGCATTCAATTCACCTTTCACCGCGCTTTCTCAGGATACCCGGTCTTGGAGAAGTTGATGGACTTGCAATCTGTTGGAGAGGGGAGAGAAAGTGTGTGTGTGAGAGAGAGGTAGTTTTGACTCACACATTATCCGCAACTATCAAGTGAACGAAGTTGAACACTCCACTGTAGCTGTACATATGGTTGATTCATGTGGTGGTAAATATACACCTGATACCACTAACCATTCATCGACTAGGCACCATGCGCAAACTGATTGTGGTGGCGGTGGCGAGGATAGCTCTGCACCGGAGTAACTTTGCAGCTTAGTGTGTGTGTGTGTGTGTGTGGGGGGGGGGGGGGGCAGGCGCGCACTTACAGCCATATTGCCAGGTCTGGGCTTACCACCAAACAAAAGAGAGAGGGGAAGCTGTGTTGCAAATCCTAGTTTCACGAGGTCACGATCATCAGGCAACCACCATCTGAATCAACTATCAAGTGAAGCATGCAAGAAAAGCGAGCCGAAAGTGAGTCCTACTGTAGTTCCAAATAAGGCATGTCCGGCATGTAGCAGTAGCACCTACCGTTTCAGCAGCTCCTGAGCGCGCAATGTGAGCTGCATGAGCCGCCATGTTCAGAGGTGTTAACAATGTGTTCATAACAGTATTTTTCAACGAAGGTGTGGCCGGGGTACTGCGCGAACTCACTGCACAAACAGACAACACGAAGAGTAGCACTGGGTCTGAAACATTCTACAAAAAAGATAAATTGGTGGCCGTGTTCCGGGAAACTTGTGTCATTTACAGTGATGAAATCCGGGCACATGAACAAGCTAGCTTAGCACCTTACACCAGTGCACAGCCCAGCGTAAGCAGGTCTGGGGTTGTACAGTGTACTGCGCCAGCCGGCTTACACAGCTCGGATTTCAATGAGCAGCACTGTTGGTCTGTGTGAAAGCCTATCAGAGCTGCTCGGCTAGAGATGCAAGTAGCCGGTCGACAAGGGCTCGTATAAATGTGTAGGTCTTCTGAGATAACTGGCAGGAATAATAGCGACTATGAGGCATGAAACTGGACCGCAACAGTAGAATACTCTGGACGTATTCTGGTAGGGCACCATAAGAAGATGGAGGGCTTCTGGCAAATGGCTGACGACTACCGAGACAATTTCAAGTAGTTTGTGGTTCATGTGCACCTTTGCATGGTCAGCATAAGGCACCAGGTTCAATTCAATTCGTATTTATCAGCCCTCACTGTACCCACACACTACAAACTAACACAGGGAGAGCACCAATGCATGAAATACTCAAGATTTGTCAAGGCAATGCGTCTATTATTAGATTCCCAAAAGATGCACAGAAGCGTGTGATGGGAGAATATGGGAGAATATGGTACGGGCATTCGGATGCCTGGTATTGTACTGTAATGCTGCAGTGAAACACCCAAGGGAGAGCCTGGTGAGGCTGCTACCAGCTGAGCAGCTTCAGCCAGCAGGGCTCAGGCTTCTAGTATTGTGGCTTTTCAATGCAGATAGCGCTAGCACAATCGAGGTATCGTGAAAAGCAACCAAAGCTGCTAGGCATTGTTTGCAGGATGCGCAGTGAGCATGGTGAGGCAAGCACTTACTGAGCGAGTGTCCAGCGCCTGCGTTGAGCGGCGTGAATACACTGGAGCCGTCAGCTGGCGACGTGTACGGTGGAATCATGGAGGATGCATGAGCAGTGGACAGGGGCACCATACGTTGTACTGGTGACGTCATTTGCCCACTGCTCAGAGATGGCATAACGCTAAGGCCTGCACACACAGAAGAGTATGCGAAAAAACTTAGTTGAGAGAAAGCAGGCACAAGTTACTACTTTAACTCATTACTGCAAGGTAACGGGATTATTCCCATACAAGTAAAACAACTTCCTAAGGCACGGCTCGCTGACCTCCCTATTTACACCCATTGTGTGAAAACAACAAACACAGGCACAGTACCTGTATGTTCAAATGTACCTACATACCAGTGGTATATGCATGATTGGGGGCATACACATACCATTGCCACATGCATGAATGGGGGGGGGGGGGGATACACATACCAGTGGCATACGCATGAATGGGGGCATACACATACCATTGCGCGGGCTGCACGGTAGCGATGCTGCTTGTCGTGGAATAGGTGAAGAGATGGCAGACAGGCTGTGGCTGACTTGCCGGTAGGAATGAGGAGGCTGGTGCGATATCAACGGTGTAGAACACCTCTCCTCACTGAGAGATTTTGTAACCGTGCCAACGCCATTGCTGGGAAAACCGGACACTGAGGAGCGCAGTTGTTCGCGAAGAAGCTTGAGCGTGTCGCTATTGGCAGTCGACTCGTCGCTCACAAGACTATTACGTTGCAAGTCTGGTGCACATGGCTTCAAAGGCAAGACAGGCCAAGCGAGAAAAGAGAACAAAGAAAGTCAGAATGGGAAAAAACAAATACCACTGCTCGTCGCCCGACATGCTTCCTGAAGCCACCCCGCCCCGCATGAACAACTACATGTAACGACGGCACCAAATAACAAAAGAAAATCCCAGGCAGCGCATTCATTGTTTAGCCACTGCTTCCTGGATTTACGTGCACCCATGCAAACGGGTACACGTCTACCTCAGTGAGTAAGTATATCTGTGCTGCATTGGTAGGTGTCCTGATCATACCCGTACAGTGCATTACAACGTGAGTAACCAGCTACTTGCATCACGTGTGCTTGTCTCTCTGATTAAATAATTCAAAAATCAAAATTATTACGATTTTTATCCTGCACCTACCTGGCTCTCTTTACTCGCTGCAGACTCAGATGGCACAGCACCTGAGGTACAACACAAACACACAGACACACACACACACACAACAATTTGACAAAACTAAACACACACTAATGCAGGGCAGGAGAGGGTATGCAGTCACAGACCTGCTGAGCTGTGGACACTGAGGTTTGCTTTGGTGAGAAAACCCACAACAAGATTCAGACATGCACAGAATCTGAAAAGCACAATGCAAGTACCCATGTACAGAGTGCAGCACTCACACCACCCACCCACATGCACAGTTCCTCAAACAGGCATACGTACATCAAACAATAGGACAAAAGCATAATTCGTAATGCCAACAGCAGCGTGATCGTCGCTCTGAGCGAAAGAGGCAGCTGAAGGACACAGTAGCCATAGGTTGGTAATTATCCGCTTTCTTCGTTTCGAAACTGGTGTTAGAGATCTTTCACGATCCCCACGATCTCTCACGTTTCACAATCGCGTTCAACTAAACCAGTACAACACGAGTTCCTTCGATAACATCGAAAATGTCTGCTCGGATGAGTGGATTGGCGAGTCGACTTGTAAGGCACTGGCAGCAGCCACACAAAGATCGTAAGAGGAGACTTGGTATCAACTGCTCAGTTCACTATTCCAAGTCAAGCACGACCGTTCTACAAAGATCAACAACTACGGCAGCAACCTGCAAGAACGTGACGAGCAAACCAAGGAAATGCGCACTGCGAAAGGTAACAAACAAGCTCAGGCGTTCTCGCACAGAGACAAAGACTCCTGTAGAGATATTCAGGTCACCTACCAGCGCTGCAATCAACCAGAAACTACTGCTCTCCTTTGAGATACAGACTGTGAATAAGTAAAAACACTGCCATTAGACGAAAACCAGAGCTCATACTCATAGCAACGACGGCGTGTATGGTCTTGCAAGCATCGTCACCAGATGCATACAGCATTTTCACAGACCAGAAAATTCAGCTGTGCTACAGCAAGCGTGCTCGCGGAACAAGCACCTACAGGAGGTTGAAAGCATCCCTCAAGAAGACTGCAAAGGTTTTATCAGCACTCCCATACGAGGATAAAAGCAACAAGACACAAACGCGAAATCAAACGAATACTTACTTGAAGAAGCCACCTGGACACTCGCCATTCCTTTAGAACTTCATCAATGCATCAACAAGCAGTCATCTAGTCGCCACACAGTGAAACAAAGACGATGAAGACGAACTGACCGACGACGTCGTGCTCGACAAGAAGTCGACAAGACATGCAGACTCAAACTTGGCGCTGTATGACCAAGCGAGTGTGTCAACCTTTTATTTTTTTGAATCCATAGTGCGGCAACCTTGTACCCGGTTTAGAGCAGAGGGCCTAGGGGTTGTTGCTGAGATATCAATGATCTCGGGTGCAGGGCTGCGGGCCGAGGGGATTCCCTAGTCCAAGAAAATGACGTTACGTCATAAAACAAGGCTTCTTTCTCGATCACAGCCGCAGTCCAAGCATCACGCCGCGGCGCGGCGCGTACCGCCGCTACCGCGGTATACCGGGTACCGGCGCGGTACATGTACGTATAATTACCGTATATCTTCTGAAAAAGTGAGAATCTTGTTCCTGGTTTCAAACACAAAAAAATTCTCGTCCTTCAAGCAGATAAGACAGTGTACGTACGTGCGTACTGGTGTAGAGTCTACCCAGTACATGACTGTATGCTCAGCTATGTTTTCCAGTCAACGAGGAGAAAGAGAAGGAGAAGGATTTGCTTAGCTTCCAAGAAGAGCCGGCTGGAATGCAATGGAATCTGGGTACAGTGTACATCGCATGTCCAGCTAGATGTACATCAATGTTTATTGGTTCATTATAATACATGTACAAGTACATATGTGTAGACTACGTGACATGAGGTTACCCTGTAAGAAGACCTTAGACCTGTGGGGATTGCCCTATCAAAAATTTGATTAAAAAAATGAACTACAGTCCATTTTAATCACAACTAGCACCCTGACTTGTTGGTGTCTCGCACGTACAAGATTTCCTACATCGTTCCCAGACTGTAATCCTTTTGTTATCCCTATCAAAGAATTCATTCAGCAAAGGTGATAAGGATAAATTAGTTATCCCGTAGTACGAAACCCCTGATTCAGCCAATGAGTAGCTGTTATGAGTGGGATGATAAGAGCCAATACAACTCCACACAGGATTGTTGTTCGATATCACCCTACAGTGCATTTCAAAACTATAGACGCGTAGGGTTTTGAAATATTTCAAATTTGGCTGGAACTTTTTGAGAATAGTTTTCGGAATATTGCTCAGGATCGCTCCACAATTACTCTCATAATTATAGTTTCTAAAGGATTGGATAACAGACGCCCAATTTGGAAATATTTATGCACAAAGTGATCGCAGATTTTATGTGGTATAGATGCTGGCATAACGGTTTTTGCCTAGGTACGCGTCTAGTTTTGAAATGGACTGTAGTTCACGATTTCCGTACCTACATTGCACCCGGCATTGGCATTTAGGCTGCAGCCGCACTATGTAACTAATATATGCATGTACCTGTCCCCGGGGAAAATCACGGAAAAATCGCAAAAAAACGCGGGGAAAAAACGCGGCATAATTTGCGATGAACATGCGGTAAATATGCGGTGAATATTATTGATATGCGGCAAGTTTGCAGTTGATATGAGGCAATTTTTAGTGAGTATGTAGTGAAATCAATCAGTTACAAGTCTCTGGTGTAAGCACTCGTCATATTTGAGTAAAAAGCCGCCACGATGAGACGTTGCTGACCGAACAGTGCACTGTGTGTACGTGTAGTGCAACAAAAAAGTTCAAAAAACGCGGGAAAATCGCGGAAAACGCTGTCTTAAAAAATCGCAAAAAAACGCGGACAAAAACGCGGCCGCGGAATCGCGATTTTCCCCGGAGACAGATGTACAGGTGAAATCCTGATAATTCGAACCTCAAAATGCCAGGAAAAACTTCTAATTATCCGGACATTCTAATTATCCAAACACGAACCCACAATATGTATGTCAAAATTCTCTCACGGTCACGCAGATTTGCGCTATGGACCTTAGACACAAATTTTACGGACAATGAACTGTCCGGCACAGCCTGCTCGTGCAAACTGAACTGACCAGTACAGTGTACAGTGAACTTCGAATTACACTAGTCTTTGCTATCTTCGAATTATCAGCACAAATCCCACACATTTTCTATGTAAGTGGAATCTGTGGGACTTCTAATTAACCGGACATGTCGAGTTCGAGGTTCGAATTATCAGAAATTTTTGTATGGGAATCGTATTGATCTATCCCTTTGGAAAAACGTGGCCAAGAATTCAAAATTCTGCGGCAAATTCTGCGGGGGAAATGGGGGTTTTCTGCGGCATTTTCTGCTGTGAAATCAAAAATCTGCGGCACTTTCTGCAAGTTTTTCGTTCTCCTCGTAGAGGATATATGACAACTACCGTAAAGTCGCGGATAAAAGCCGGGCTTATAAGCACATAAGCCGCTTTCTGCACCAGGCTTTAATGCAAACCAGGCTTGTATGCAAACCATGCTTATATGCACCACACTTGCATAGAAGCCAGGCTTCTACGTCGCATGAAGGAGCACTTTTCATACTACCCTTTGCTGTCACGAACTGAATAAGAGTGAAGAATCTTGGAGAGACCTGCACTGGCAAGAGAAATGTGCTCAAACAGATCGCAAAGTAGTTTTTCTGCTGCTTTCTGAGTAGTAATTTTAGTAATTTACCCTAAAAAATTCAGATTCCGCGGGCAAAAGTGTGGATTCCGTGATTTCCGCGGATGATGGCAACTTCTGCGAAATTTGCCGCGGCCGCGGAATCGCGTTTTTCCAAAGGTTGATAGAAATCGGTCCTGGAAAACTTCTAATTAAGCGGTATGTTCGAATTAAGCCATATTCGAATTATCAGGATTCCACCTGTATTTTGAATTTCATGCACCTCAACTTCATGCACCTCAATACTCACCAGTGATTCGACATTTTCTGGCGGTTGGGCTGGAAAAATGCAATACAACTTGCTGTGCAGCTGCTGGCTGTAGTATACACATATCTTCACCCTTTTACCTAGTGCGGTTGCAGCCTTACCCACCCCCTCTCGATTCTGTGCTTTGCAGAACTGCAAGGGGGATGGGAGCATGCCAGCCCAGAGTGTACGCTAGGCACAACACTCGCCTGAGCTGAGAGAACTTCACGACTACGTCCAACAAACTGCCACACAAATGACAAACTCTAATGGCCAACTCAACGCTATGTAAAGTATTCGAAGTACCGTACTTTCCGCAGTATAAGGCGCACCTAGATTTGTTGTCACGAAATGCAGACATCTATCCTATTTATCACCGTTAATAACTTCACCATCATAGTATAAGCCGCTCCACGACTTCTTTTGGGTGAATTACTGGTGTTTAATGTGCGGCTTATACTCTGAAAAATACGGTACAAATCAGTTCTCACTCACTTGTTTCTAAACTTGAAGAAAACCTTATGAAATAAGTTCAAGGAGCTGTCCCCGGGGAAAATTGCGATTCCGCGGCCGCGTTTTTTTCCGCGTTTTTGCGATATTTTAAAAGACCGCATTTTCCGCGATTTTCCCGCGTTTTTTGAACTTTTTTGTTGCACTACACGTACACACAGTGCACTGTTCGGTCAGCAACGTCTCATCGTGGCGGCTTTTTACTCAAATATGACGAGTGCTTACACCAGAGACTTGTAACAGATTGATTTCACTACATACTCACTGAAAATTGCCGCACATCAATATTATTCACCGCATATTTACCGCAAATTCACCGCAAATTATGCCATATTATGCCGCGTTTTTTCCCGCGTTTTTTTGCGATTTTTTCCGCAATTTTCCCCGGGGACAGAAGGAGAGATACCGTGACAGCGAGGAAACTTCAGGAAAGTACAAAGATGTGAAAGTGATATGAAAATAGTTTCCTTCATGTGACGGGCACTGTTCAAACATGTAGTTTATGACCTACACAAAGTGAAAGTCAACCTCGTGAACATAGCCATGGCAAGGTTGTGCGACCGTGGCAACGTAAACCTAGGTGTATGGTGACATTAGAGAGTTGCAGCTGGTCACGTTTCATGAGAAAATTGCACTTCATTAAAAAATATCGATCCTTTCCATACTGTAAGACATGTTAATCTAACGAGTCGCAAATTTAACAATTGTCCGAAATTCATAGGTTAAGGAGAAGATACGTTAACGATCTTGCGATCTTCAGGCGTATCTGCACATAACACATCCTAGTATGAGGCATTAGAGCCTCAACAGAACTTACTATAACGAAAAAATCGCACCCGTTAAAACGTTAGATTTACTTCCTCGTTATAATTACATGTCTTAGGCTGTGTTTACATGAGGCGTTTCAACCCGGGTCAGATTTCAACCCGCCATGTACACAAAATGAATGGCGCGTTTACATGACGCATTGCGCTTGACCCGGGTTGAAATTTCGCCCCAGGTTGATTTCAACCTCCCCCCCCCCCCCCCCCCCCCAAGGGGAGGGTTGAAATCAACCCAGGTCAAGAAAATCGTACAAACGTACTTCTGTGCGTATCTTGCGCCAGGTTTGAACAGCACTGCGCATGCAAATTTCGCGCGAACGGATTCACGTGACCATACAGGACTCTAGCAGTGGATTTTTGGCGGCATATCAGTATTTGACCCGGGTCAACTGTCTTCCGTAAATATCGATGTTTTTTTAGAGACGATATTGGTGCTTCTCTCCCTTGACCCCCCCCCTCCCCCCAGAAGACGCACATGTACATCTAGATCATGGAATCAATATTTTTGGATGCTCATTTTTTTTCCTTTTTTTGTCAATAATATGAACCCAAGATGGCAAGTTTGCAGTATTTATGGTCTAATTGAGAAGGAGAGCATTATGACTTTTTTGGTCGCCCTCGAGAACACTTGTGGCCAGCAGCCTTCTTGTGCTGCATTAGAAGGTCTCCTGCAGGCATCGTTCGGCCGATTTCCACAATCAATAGCTCATTCTTTTGCTCTTGAAATTCGCCATGGGCGTACAGCTTCCAATTTTTGATTTTTTTCTTGTGTCGCGAGTTTTAGCTCCGCGAACGGAAGCTGGTTTCACATTTCTTGTATAGCCATTTAGACGTCCGCGTGCAGGGATCGGCGAAACTTCAGATATTTACATTGATATTTTTCTGATGCTCGAAAAGACGCACATGGCTCAAACCCCCTCCCCCCCAGACGCACCAATATCGTCTCTAAAAAAACATCGATATTTACGGACGGCCCCTAAATGCTCACCTATTTTGTCTATCGTGCAGACTTTCAACCCGGGTTGAAATTTCTCATGTAAACACAGCCTAGCAGTATTAAAACATGACTGTGTATGTTCGTTTTGAGGGGGGAGGGAGGTCTGGGGAGAAATGAACAAATAATTATCGCCTTGAAAAAATATCGATATTTACGGACTGCCCCTAACTGGAAACAAAGAGATCCTGAAGTATGAGACTTCTAAACTCCCACAACTGCAAATACTCTGCGACCGACCCCCGTTCGCCATAGCTGCTCAAGCGGCTCAAGTTACTTTATACATTGAGCCCACGGCTGTTTCGACCACACATATGTCATCAATGAAGGTTGTGGAATACTAACTGGTTAGATATTATGGGGGCAGTCTTGTACCGAGAGTAACTGAGAACAGAGGCACTTCCGACTTTGGAATCTAGGCTATCACTGAAAGCAGGCACACGGGAAGAGCCTGGGGCATTTACTCCATACACTCACTGACCACTGCCATCGTAAAAAAAAAAAAAAAAACATAGCCATGGGTCGCAAGATAAGTGTACGGTGGGCATCTCCATGGCATTGTATGTGTTATTGCATTAGCGGTGTTGACCCCCCCCCACACACACACACACTTGTACTTGCTCATTGCCAGGCACGGGTCACGAGGGTCTTCCCGGGAGGAGAGAGGAGGGAGATTCAAAAAGAGTCTTGGAAATACAGTCAAACCTCTTCAGGACGAACCCTAAGGGACCGGTGGTATTTGTTCGCAATAACGGGAGCCTACGGTTCTTCTTATCCATAGTTTATACCCAGTGTTCCATCCAATACAGTTATGGACACTAGTTCTTCTAAAGCGAAAGTTGGTCTTATCAGTGAGAGGTTTTACTGTATGTCTCAATTGCCTATTGAACCGCCTGAAATGCCCGAACTCTGGGTGGACGTGGAAATGATCCCACTTATGGTCTCATCACACCTCAGTAAGTGGGACAAGGTTCAGAATACAGGGTATCCGCACACACATCACAGGGAGAGGGCTTAATGGCATCAGGGTATCTGCACACACATCACAGGGAGAGGCGCTTCATCACTTACATTGTATTGGTTAAATACTTGCATGCTCAGCGGGGGCTTCCAGCCGAGTCTCACGCGAACCGTGAACTTAATTTATGCTCAGCGAGTCTGGAAGAACAGAAGAATGGGTGAATGGCCAACGTATAGCTGCTTGGCATGAACTTAAATAGTGTTCCCAGAGGGGATCACAGGCAGCAAAAAAAAAGAAGAGAGGCATATAGGTTCAAAGCGAGCACAGAAACGATGTTACAAGCTGCAAGGAATGTTGATATCAAGTGTTATGAACATGTACATGCTAGTGGCAAACACCAACTAATAATACAGTGTGATTGACAAGCTCCGACAAATGAGCCAGCAGCAAAACAACAACAATAACAACAAAAAACGGCACAGATTCTAAGAGAGAGAGAGAGAGAGAGAGAGAGAGAGAGAGAGAGAGAGAGAGAGAGAGAGAGAGAGAGAGAGAGAGAGAGAGAGAGAGAGAGAGAGAGAGAGAGAGAGAGAGAGAGAGAGAGAGAGAGAGAGAGAGAGAGAGAGAGAGAGAGAGAGAGAGAGAGAGAGAGAGAGAGAGAGTACGAGGTATAATTATACTGTAGTAATCATGTAAGAAGATTCAAAGAGGTATCAAATGCTTTTGACTATTAATTAGAGTAAAGAACACATACGAGTACACAACATGATGTGACTGCACAGCAAGTCAGCAGAACGGACGGAAAGCACGGTGAAGGAAAGCAGCACAATAGCAATGATGGCACGGGGCCAGGAAGAGCTAGGGGGGAGATAAGTTACAGGAAGGGACGGGACACGGATAACTTCATTTGAAACGGGGGAGAGACGTACAAGAGCTAGTAAAATAGCTTACAACACCGGGGGTTCGACAGAGTAGCCTGTGGGGGAGAAACATGAGGGATTGAGAGCAAACCCCCAAGCTATGAGAGGAGATCCCGTGAAGTAGCTCACGCATAAATAATGAGGTCGATTCAAGTTAAAGAGGTACAAGACAGAGGAAAGACAGAGAGCAAACAGCAGAATACATGGGTTGACAATGACAGGTAGGGAAGACCACAATCGGTTCATCCACTTCAAAAGATCAAGCCGGTTAAGCACAGGAGCGTGGTCAACAACTCCGAATTTCTATATAAAAGATTGGCCAAAAAATGAAGATTTAGAAGGCACAAACTTACAAACTGCATAAATGGTTGAACGGCGGAAAGAGCCGATATTTCAGATAATAAATTTGCGCTGATCATCAAAATTTCAAGCTGTTCCGATGACGGAAACGAGGCATGTCAGAGCGTAAACCAGAGTAGGTTTTGGATCGACTAAAACGAGTCAGCTCACCACTAAATTTCTTGTCATTCATGCTGACGTAGTGGGGAGGGTCACACATAACCTAAGAGCACAGAGCACAATACAGTATGCAATGTTACCGCATTCACGCGCATAAAAGGGCATGCACTTATATTTGAAAACAAGGCCACCTCCACATATAAAGGCCTGAAAGAAAAAAACTCCAAGAGCCAAGAGTGTATTTTGAAGTACTCATACTGACAGACATACCCTTGTGCGTGGAACAGTTGTTTCCTGAGGAAAAACGCATTTTGTTCGCATATAAGAGCATGCGCTTGTATGTGGGTGCATACGGTAAGTAGCAGTATCAGGCGCCTGGTACTACCACAGGCACGAGACAAGTATAATTACAGTTGTGCTCAGCGAAATTCAACCTAGGGTGCTTTGTTGGCGCCGTCAACTTGCACGACCCTTGACGCCTTGGAAGTGGTACGAATGTGGCTCGACATACACATGTACAAGTACAGTGACGTAATCGGAATTGGTCCAGGGCGCTAGTTTTGCACTTTGGGTTGGATTTCAGTGAGCGCAACTGTACATATACCATGTATGCGCAATCCTCCACATCGCAGTCAATGGGAGGTATGCATCTAAGATGGCCGTCACCTTTTTGCGGGGCAAGTTACCCCATACTTGGCAGGTACAACTCGTTATAGCGCATGTATGAGTACGACCTCACAAAGTTTATATGACCTTTTATGCAGAGCTGGTATCACAGTGTGTACGGTTGCAGTGGACTTGCCCCGCAATAACCTAACGGCGGGAAATGGATGCATACGTCTCATTGGTGACATGGCCGGCCAGGCAGTGGCATATCACAATGAGCAAGGCAACACAGGCATCAGTCACACCGCCAGCCAGCACAGCATGCTGGAGAAGTCAGTGTACGGGAAGACAACAGGACGAGCGATCACATGCACTGGGAAGTGCTCTACACGGGCCAGCACACTGCCACAGTGACACAAGCACACTCACCTTGCAGTTACTGAAGAAATCCTTGTAACCACCAGATAAGAGATACATCTCGGGATAATATAGACGGGGGTAGTTCTCTAGATGTAGGTCACGGTCCGTCTTGCGCAAGTGCTGCAAACTATCACCACAAAGAAGCAAACATAGCCGGTCAACAAATGATTTTGTGCCAAATACACATGACATGAGGGGCCGGTCGTAATTATCGATCTTTTACACGAAACAAAAAAGTTTCGTTTATGGGTGAGTGTGACTGAGGGCATTGGCGATAGAGGAAGGAAAACGCAACAACCAGCGATAACAACATGGTCATGAATACTTGGCTACTGGACAAAAGACGGCAAGGCATGGTTCAGCCTGTGCCGCAGCTATTTGCTATGGAACACAGAAGGCGGTGCGACAGCTGTGCATGGTAATAATTCAGGTCTGTTCCATTGCACTCTTCATCTCATGGTATGTTAAAAGAGCTAACAAGGATGAGGATAGGGTTAGGCTGACTGATAAGTGGGTAGTACTAACTGCGCCCTGGACTGGGATGAGACATAAACAAACCCACGCACAAACTTACAGTGCCACACTTCTCTTGACTGAGAACTCGCAGTGAAAGATCGGAATAATGGATTCACCACGCGCCTCGCATGCCTTCAGTTCTTCAATGGCATCGGCACCCATGAGCTGCTCTGTAATCGCCTCTGCTGACGACATATTCACAGCACCCTGCAATAAACGCACAGATGCACAAACATGTTGACCACGCTAGTCCTAAACTGCACATGGCATGGTGACCTGTTATGTGTTCGAATTGCACCATTCAACAGCTTGCACGGCTGATAATGGGCGGACACGTATGCACCTTGATCCAACGTTAATTACTGTATAAGGGCGCGTTCAGACTACCGTGAATCCCGTCAAACCGTGAAAGGCGATAAACCGTGAAGGACATTCACACTACCGATAAACTAACGTTACCGGTACGTACGTTTTGCAGCTCTCACCGTGGCACTGAGAAGGGATTTTCCCTTTTCCCAGCCTGAGCACTCTTTTTTACTGCCAGAAAAGTTCTACTGCCGCAGCAGTAAACCTTTTCTGCCGGTAGCGTGCCAGTAACGTCACGTGATCAAATCACCTTGGAAACTTTCCCATTTCGTCACTTTTCATCGGTAGTCTGAACCCTAAGCGCCCTAAGCAAAAATATTCGTCTGGAATTTAATTTTGTCTTTTTCGTCCAAGGAGCTTTTGGACTAAATTAAATGCCGGACTAATGTCAACTTGTACAGAGTTTCAATACACTCTTATGATACATGGACGAAATTTTCAACCGGACGAACTCCCTTTCTTTGGAGTTGGACCAAATTATCGACCAACGAAATGTTCTGCCTGTACAGTACTAGTAAACAGTTGGATGGCATCAAGCAACAAGCTAATGCAGCGCAGTCGTCCGAAGAGTAGATGTAGAACAATTGAACACAAGTGCCGTATTTCCCAAATATAAGTTGCACCCGTTTACGCTTAAAACGTCAAGGGTAAAGAAGGGGGTGCGACTTACAATCGAGTGTGACATTCTATCTATGTGATCTATATCGAATAATAATGGCTCAAATCTAAAAATGGGAGTGCGACTTATATTCAGGGAGCTGTACCAGTTTTACTTGGCGATTGCGGCTTTCAAGCACAGGCAGTTGTGTGCTTGAGAATGTTTGCGAACGGGCTGAAGTATGACAAAACGAACAGGACGGTTTGATATCAAGTTTTAGCTTGGAGGAGCATATCCGTGGCGAAAATACCGGAAGCTTCCCTGGGAATCCCATATGGAAAAGTTCCAGGCTCACCGTACACATGATGAACACCAAAAAAACGGTGTATTAAAAGACAGCATGCAAATTCACATGTACACACTCTAACCTGGATATGTCCAGCGTTGAACTCATATGGATATCGGCAATCGATGATAATCAATTTTCCAGGCAGAGAATGCTCGCCACGCATGGTAGCGGCAAGAGTCTCCCATGAGATACGGGCGATGCCATTATTGGAGCCATCCGAGAAAGGCAGTGCTGGCAACGAGTGAGCACGGCTGAAGTCCCCGACAAGATTGGCTCCTGCCTTCTGTCCTGGGCTGATGATACCGTAGGCTGCATTGATCTGCGGACTGCTGGTCGAGGCCAGTAGCCTGTGGGTAGATTTGAGCGTATACGGAGACAGAACAGTCTGAGGATCCTTCAGGCAGCAGTGTCGCTTGCATTCAATGTTCTTGGGTGTGTCGTGAACAGCAAGACGGCTTCGCTGCACACAAAATGCACAGATGCACATACACACATGTGTGGGTGCATAATAGACAAAGTGCTTGGTGCACATGATGGCCAAATTACGCAGACCCATCGGGCTTTCATGCAATGCTACACCGAAATTAAATATGAGGTGACGAGATGCACACACTACACTAGTATTAAGCAAGAGGATGGGCCAAAGTCAAGGAAATAGTAGATCAGGCAGTACTGTATGTAACTACAGAACACATTGGCACTGCACGACTCGACTGGTTCCAAAACTACCATTTCAACAGAATCTAGCCACGTCAAGCAGGAGGGGATTACCTTTAAAGATGAGGTGGCACTGGGCGTCCCGGACAGTTCATCAAAACGCCCTGCCCGTGTCAGCTCACACTCATCTCCAGAAGATGGGGAGGCAGTAGCATTGGTGCCGAGTGATCGAAATGGCTGGATTGATGAGCTCGCTTGGCCGTCATCTGAGAGCAGGGCATTAGTTGATAGTGATGTCACATGGTAGATGCTCCCAAGGCCAGGGCAGGATGATCCCCTGGTGACCGAGTGCAGGCGAGGCGTGGCGTCGTTGTCAACAGGAAAGCATGGACGACTGGAGCACGGGGATGGAGTTTGCCTTAAGTCCTGACAACACAGGTGACAACACAGGTAACAACAACAACAAATGAGGTCAGAATGATGCAGTCCGTGTGAGTGAAGGCGACTCACGCCATGGTATGACATGAGCCTTGAAGTGCACGTTATGCTATTGCTTCAGTATTTTTACGCACTACCTGTTGATACAGAGGGAATCCTGACAATTCAAATAATTGTATCGCCCAAGCAGGCTGTTGTTCAAGGACCGATTACAGTCAGCATCACCCTACATTGAAATGGCTGATAATTCAATCCACATCTGCATAGATAAAAAAGTGACCTGTTCCTGTTGATAAAATCAAAGGTGCCGGCAAAGGCGTATTCCATCTACAGTACCTGACATGAAACTTCAGTGGGTTAGTTATGTACAGCACTGTCGGTCGCCGAAGAACTGAGGGGGTCAGCATCGTAGCCTAGACCGTGGTTATTTTCATGTACTAGTCTATCCACAGTTGAGCCACCGTGTAACTGTAGACATTGGTATGCTGTGCTTAGTGAAATTCTAGCCTGGTCGTTCTTCGGTGCCCGACAGTACAGTAGCTAAAACAGTACCGTAGCTCAAGAATGCCCTGGTAATGACCTTACCTCTGGGACTTGGTTGTCTAGTGCACATGGCAAGGACGCCTGATCAAGAGTTGGTGGTAGTGACAGAAACCTGTCCAACGACGGGCTCTACGCACAGAACAATACAAAGGACAATGTAGTCGAACCAAAACAAGAACAGATTGGCGTAACAAGTGACTGCAAATACATGTACGAGTACATTGTAAACCAAAGGCATGCCAAGCAATATGTTCGACTTGCACTTCAAGTACACAGGGCAGACTGGAGAAAGTCCAGTCAGCTTGGCAAAGCCTGACTGTACTTGCATTCAAAGGCGGTGAGTCGAGCGTGAACTGAACATGAGGATTGGAGACTCAACAGCATCAATAGCGCCACGTTACAATGGAAGTTTGGAGTGTACAGCAATAATAGAATGGGCCTATTTATTTATTTATTTTGGCTCATACCTGAGTGAAGGAACCATCCATAGGCTGCTTTCCAGACAACAGAGGGGCTGACAGCAACGAGGACAAGCCAGGCAGCGGTGACTACAACGAAACAGAACACAGGAAATTCATAACTTTTAGAAGGCGGAGGACGAAAAGAATTACAACCTGTTATTGCAGATACACATGTCAAGTGAGCATGAAAGATGTTTGCAGCAAAGCAACTGTTCGGATATTAAGAGAAAGAGAAAGAAAGAGAGGGAGGGAGAGAGTTCTCGCCTATGAAATTGAACTAGGCTGCGCCATTTGTAATACATAATGCAGTAGTTCCAATGGAAGGGAATCCTCTAAGATACAGGCATGTCGATTCTCAGTACTTTGTGGCACCATATTTTCTTTCTTTCTTCTTTTATGGTGAAAAAGGAGAAGGACAAAATGTTATGAGTTATGACTAACTGTCCACTAACGTAACTAACTAACGGAGCCAGTTAGTCATAATTCGTAACATTTTGTCCTCCTTTTCACCATAATTTAATTGGCTCACCATCCGAGTTGAACTTTCTTCTTTTAACCCTTTAGTGGCCGATTAAAATACAAACAAGCCCACGCAATCGCCAAACCAGTACCTAAATTGGACGTAACTTTGCACTGGACAAATTCCACGATCTTGGGCATCCTGGAAAGGCCTTGACGAGAGGAGCGCAATGAGCGTACACTCGACTCCACGGGATGCACTGGCCCAGCATTGCAAGCCAGGGAAGGCCCACCAGCGCTGGGCCCACGCTCGAGATCTATCCCAATCCACCATTTTACTCCTGTTGCTCGTATCAAACTCAAAATTTTTCGTAGAGACTCCCGGGAACCTGCTTTTGAAGTTGAATCGGTGTAGTCTTGTCAACAGGTGACGTAAGGAGGGAAAATCCCGGCCGTTGACCCACGCATCGCGCTCTGAGCGCACATTTCCCGGGACCAACATTACGAGTGCTATAACTCAAGAACCGCTCTTTGCATCGCTTTGAAAATTGTTCGAGGCGACAGCTGAGAGTTTTTTCTTCGACCTAAATATTTCGATCTCTCCGAACGACCGAGATTTGACCAAGTTACGATAATTTCAAAATGCCTACCCCATCGAACATCGGTGTTCGATCAATGTCTAGGCCAGCCAATAAAGGGTTAAGAAATAATAATTTAATAAAATAGAGAGGTTCTGCAAAACGAAAATGTGTACGAACTTTCGCTCTACGTCACGAAGTGAGAAACTTCGCACGAACTTTCGCAACTTTGGACGCGAAACTTGCAGGGAACGCGAAATGATCTTTCGTAGGAAGTTTCGTGAGATTGGGTCATGTCGTACGTGCACTTGGCGCGTGCAAACTACGAAAATGTGCAGAACACAAAGTTCGTGCGAAAATTCGTACACTTTTTTTGCAAAGGCCTGTTGCGAAACTTCGTTCGAATTTTCGTTGTGCAGAACCTCTCTAATAGGGTGTCGCAGAGTAAAGTTGATTGATGTCGCCTAATTGTGAAGATGTATGGATATCTGTGGGACTAAGGAGCACAATGTTGGAATAAATAGACACAACAGCAAAAATTTAAATATAGGCCTACGGACTTACAAGGCCTTTGTCTGCACCTGATGAGGAACCAGGCTTAGTCAGTAGGCTAAGAAATGGACTTGTACACATCGGACTTGAAGCACCCACGGGTGATGGCTGCGGACTAACGCTGGCATCTGCGAGCAGTGTGTGATCGCCAAGGTCTGCTGCCGAGCTGTCAGGACTTCTGCTTAAGTGTCTGGCTGGCTTAGAGCTAGGCAATGACATAGTGCTCTCATTGCTGAACAGACGAATGCGCACACTGGAGCGAATGGGTACGGAGAGCGAGCGCGCGTAGCGTGGAGCGGCCTCGGCAGATTGATCGGTGATGACATCGGAGCTGGCAGTATCCTCATGTTCTGATCGTGGGGAGAGAGGAGAGCGGCACAGGCGATCCTCATCCCAGGAAGCCGTCGTAGTTAACTTTGACGGGAAAATGGTTTTCCGAGCACATGGTATACTCATAGAGCGCTCTGACAGGTCGTGGATGTGAACATCTTCTTGAAGTGGACTATCGACAGCCAAGCCCAAGAAATCCTGTGGACACAGACGGAAAACCAACAAGTACAAACATTCTGTTGTCATACTATAAAAAGATAAACTAAAACCCAGTATCGCAATAAGGAGAACCAGTTGGATGGACTTGTGACTACTTTAGTGAAGACAACAATGGAGAAAGATCCGAACAAGTTTTCCATCTATTGACACCGTTTAATAAAGTAGTCAGTACTAGTCACATGTCCATCCAACTGGTTCTCCTTACTGCGATTCTAAGATTGTCGCCTCCTCGCTGTTTGTTTAAAACCCAGTACACCATGATTTCATGGCCGGGTGCAGAAAACGATTTCACACTTTGATGTTTGAGGAGAGAGAGAGAGACCTAGAGAATGTGGAAGGTGAAACATACCTTTACAAAGTCCGGGGTACCAGTAACAGAAGTCGCCGGAGATGTTAATGAATACATCTGTACAGTCAGGAGAACGAGTAACAGGTCAACAGAGTTAAATTTCAAACAAGACACGCAACGATTGTGATTTTGTGAAAAGTCAAATTTCTTGAACCTGCTTGTAACAACAGTATACCCACACGAAAGGAAGCAAACACACCGAAAGAAGCCGAAACAGCTGAGGCGCTGACCCAACAAGAACTTACATCGTCTCCAAGAGCACTATCACTGGAGCAGTCTGACGTCCGGCGAATGCAGCGTGGTCCAGAGTTGCTGCTGTAGCCACTAGGAAGTCCCTGGAGAAAGGAAGAAGCAGAAAACATCACAGTGACTTTGCTGGACATTGTCTTGCGCTACCTGGACACGTTTGACAAATGTGTCTATCGGGTATCACGAGATAGGTACTTGAATGAAGTCTGTGTTCATCGACATCGGACTAAACCCAAACTCCATCAACAAGAGTATGGAACCCCGCGTACGGTTTCGAGGCGGTACAATTCGGCGTTTACAGCACAGCCGCGCATTGAAGAACGACTCGAAGAAGCATGATTTGAACAAAAGCACATAAGATAGTATTGATGTGTGTGTGTTCTTTGGATCGATTCGCGTTAAATTGGGGCTTGAATAATTATAAAAGTTAGCTAAATATTGGCTTGTGTGGCTGGTGTAGGCACTGCTTTCATAGACGACTTTTATGGTATGTTGTTGTTGCTGTCAATATACAGCAAGACTGATGAGATAGGATTTGCACAATCGGGCGCTCATACTCTTGGTATCACGGTTACTATTACTGATGGCAGGTTTTCAGCTTATTAACGGTCACTGCGGTAAATTTTGCCAGGGCAAGATGGACCTGGATAGTATGTGCACTGCAGCGCAATCAGTTTGTTTACTACAGGGAGGGGGTTGGCCAGTGCAGTGCGAAGCGATGACTCAATGCCCAGTAAAACATATGTATGCCAAGCATAATGCTGCAGCCAGCAGTGAAACAGCAACCCCCAGCTGCCTCGGGATGACACGGTGAATGCAGAATCGTACATCGCAGCACCCCCGGCGAGTGTCGCGACACGATTGCGCTGGCGAGATGCGATCGCGCATCACGTAGCAGCCCGGTGTGAAGCAGGAGAGCGACACTGAGGGCGACCGCACATGTCAAACAGAGTGCGTCAACATTCCAAGCGTCATCCCAACAAAGCCTGTCACCAGATCACATGTCACACTGCTAGCATTGGCCCGTGTTCACGCCCTGGACGTGCAATGACAGCAGCGCGTGGTACATGGAATGCACATAACGGCTGTGTGATGCTAACCTGTCAATACCATGCCACAGCTCACAAGATAACAGCCTATGTTATTGCGACCAGAATGCCCAAGTGCATCTAGCAACAGCCTGCTGATTGTTTCCAAGATGAATTTCAGGAGCAGACAACCTACAGATTACACTTTGAAATAGTTAGACTGTGGCAACTAAGATCACAGAAAGAAGCGCACTGGATTTATATTTCAGCATCTTCACAGTCATAGCTGCTAAGTGGCCGATGCCACTGTGTGCTGCATGGCAAGTATAACTAACTTGATCACCATGATCACCTGTTCCTCAAAACAAGGAGTTCGCATACGCCATCATATGCATGCATGCAGTCTTGGGAAATATTGCACAGGCTATAGAAAGACATGTGGAGGATACTGGATCAGTGTCGCGACCATTTGGAGAGAAGAATGCGACAATGGTGTTCTAACGAGCCCCTTGGCCTTCCTGTTCCATAGGTCAATGCAACCGTCTGCCACATTTATAATAATTACGATTTATAGCTGCATCAGCCGCTATGTACGGAATGAAGCGGATGTAGTGGGGGAAGAGTCGGAAAACTACTCAGCATTGTCGACTTACGGGTAATGACGAGCGTGCTCGAAGCCCCAACGGAAATAGTGGAGTTGGGGAGTCCTCGCTGTAGGACGAGTCGTCGCACATTCTCAATGACCTTCACACACATACGGCGGGGATGACAATACAGAACACAACTATTACGATGCCACGATAGATCAACATCGTTCCGAAACTAAACAGCTTACACGTGATCGTCTCCTCTATCTTCAAAGACAAAATACATCCAGAGCATAATTTCGTAGCACGCACCTTCCTTCGCATTTGTCAGCGTCCACCCTGATGCCTCGTCCACCAGACACTCTCTTCCCTGCATGGTGTGAAGGGAAAACGATCATCGAACGAGTAAGGGTACAAGTCGAATGAACTGGCATAGAATGGAGGCATCAAGAGGTAGTGTAGACCTCGACATTGTGCTACGATTTCTCGGAGCTAGAGACAGGCTAGGCTCCCTTGAGAATACTTTATGTAAATTGTTTGGAAATTTTCGAATGCAATACGATAACACTCCGTTGACATGGAACAAACAAATTGCTAATGCCCTGACCGGAATGCTTCGTGCCATCACTGGCCCGTCTTCTGGTGAAGGATAAGTGCAAGCTATCCGGGCGTCGTCTTGCGCTGTCCACAAACCCCTCAGATTTGGTGTGCTTGAAAGAAAATGCGTTGCCAGTTGTACTCATCGGGCTGCTAGAAATACCTTCGCCATACGGAGCAAGACGATCCCGTCGGCTCCTTGACAGAGTAAAGGACATGGGCAACGACAAACCATGGCGAGTCAAACCCGATTACTAAATACCATTGGTAATTACCTCTTTAGTCACTCACTTGCGTTTGTTTATGCGGGATGTGGGAGATGTGGGAGAAGCTGATGAGCTGGTGCTGCCCGAAGTTTGCTTCATTTTGACCAAAGGCCTAAATAGGACGTCGTCTGTTTCAGTAATCCTTCTCTACTACTGTTCTATTTTCCAGGTGGTTCATTGGAGTGGGGATCAGTTTGGCCTAAGGTGGAAAGCTGTCGACATTAGTTATCGACCCATTCTCCTTCAGCACAAACGCCACCATCACTAGCACGAACAAGTGTGAAGGATCCTGCAGTTTGCAGCTGAACTGGACCACCACCCTAATAATTTTGAGCTTGCCGCTCGATCGTGATTGGTCCAACGGGACACATGTGGACAAGGGGAATCCCCTGGGTGGACAAAGAATGCGATGTCAGTCCACGTGGTACCGGTAGGGCTTTCGATTTTGAATGAAAAATCATGACCAGAATCCTTCCTCTTGAGTCTAGTGGGGATGGAAGGAGAAGAACAGTTCTGCCATGAGTCCCTGTGTCGGACTGGTGTAATGGCGGAAAAGATTACAGAACGCTATGGACGTAGAAAGGAATCCTGAAGCTCGAAGTTTACTTGTGACATAGAAGTCTGAAGCAACATACATGTAGTTGCAACGAGATCGTGAAGACGAGTAACATTCCGGATCTGTTGCTTTACATGGCTGTACAGGACGGCAGCAGTCCTCAAGTAATTAGTTTGCTGCTTCAAGTACTTGAAGAACTTCAGGAGACATCAGCTCATTGACCTTGAGACATGGCCCATCAGATGCTTTGTCGCCAGGCAGCACATCCACAGCTCAGCTCAGGTAATCATGAGTGTTTCATGTAGATATTCGCGCGTGCATGCGGCTGTGTCCTCCCGCCCGCCAATACACAACTCCCAATTGTCACAACCTCAAGTGGCTGAAGGGTCTCTCCAAGATCCTTTTAAAATGCATACCCCATATCGAGAGGCAAGCTGTTGAGATCTCGGCCTCGGGAACACGCAACCTGATTGTATTCCCCCAGACACACCAATGACTATGTACAACTGTGAGCACGTGTCCCTGTGACTGTGCGGTGTGATCCTGTGCGATGTCTGACGCAATAATAAATTATCCATAATTATAAAAACCGCTCTGTGAGCGGTTCTGAAAACCCTTTATACTGGTGCTGCCTCGTCGTAAAAGTAAGAAATTAGAACTGGAGCATTGTCCCCCCCCCCCCCCCCCCCCCCCCAAATGCGAACTGATCCACCTAAATCGCGAATGACGGGACCCGAACGCACCAGTAGCACGAGGTTCCTACCTGTGGATGCAGATGGGGACGTTGGTCCGGACCATAGGCCATGGTCGTCGATGAACTCCCATGTTGGATATCCCACGGAAGTAACTACAATTGTACGTGTACTAGCAAAGTTACACTGCCACTGATACCATGTACAATGTGCTGTACTAGTGGTGGTGTTACGCTATGATAATTGCTGTGATCCTGTACCCTCCCGACCTCGTGCTACTTGTGCGTTCGGGTCCGGTCATTCGCGATTTAGGTGGATCAGTTCGCATTTGGGGAGACAATGCTCCGGTTCTAATTTCTTCCTTTTACGACGAGGCAGCACCAGTAAAGGTTTTTCAGAACCGCTCACAGAGCGGTTTTTATATGGATAATTTCAATTCTTTTTCCGTTCCCTCCCCACCCCAACCCCGAAGGTAAACATGATGAGCACGCGCGCGATGTACTGTATGTAGCCATCAGACTGCAATAACACACTGATACATACCAGCCCTCCCCCGGCCTCGCTACTCCGCACACAGATACACAAACACGCGGATGCACACGACACACAACACAAACAGGAAATTCTTTATGTATAATGCCATGCAAAGCAGTGGCCACCGTACTTCAGGAAGTCAGTTGTGAAACACAATAATTCAACTACAACGTGTAGACAAGCTGACGGCCAAAGCACAACATAGCAAGCATGACATTTGCGCAAAATACCATTCACGGAATGACTGCAAGAGGTCAGGGATGCAACAACGCCCTGCTGACATGTGTCTCAAAGCTCAATAAGAATGTGTTTGTCACCATGGCACTCGCATAGCCGGGTACAACTGGTACAAATGTGCAAGCAATTCATGAATCTTTCGTCTCGCCTCCTCAGATAACCACTGCAAGGGTGCGACGACAACCTTCGGCCTAACAAGGTGCTTCCAGACAATCTTCGCACTGGTTGGTACACAGTTCACTATGATGTTTGTATTGTCAGCACACAAGTCATGCATGAGACGCAGGTTGCCGTCAATGGGCAATGGAAGGTGAAGTATTTTGTTCTTGGCACCTCACTCGCTCTGAATGCGGTCGACTGCCATGCTTTGTGTCTAGCTTGTAACATGTCTGGAAGGGTTTCACTTTTTGAGTGAGTAATTTTTCGAATGAGTTAGTCACGACAAGCACTGGGGTACAGGGTCAAGGTGCAAGTCATTGAGAACGCAAGATGGCGGCATGCTGTCTTTCTTCACGTACAGTTTGCAAACCCTGCAAATGAACATGGCGTCTGTAGCATGCAGGTTTTCACTCACGTAACTTGTTAGTCTGTGCATGAGATTTCCCACAAATCCATTGCAATCTGAAAGTGGGAAAGGGACCACCTCCTCCCTTCGCCTTAGCATGTGGCACGAAATGCATGAAAATACGGGTACGTTACACACCTTCTCCTCAAATGCCGCATACTCTTGGGCATGTCTACTAAGAATAGCATTTTCATCCAAACGTAGATTGTGGTTGACTGTCACGCCCACTTGGGGCACAGAAATGTCGTTGAATGCGCTTCGCCTTCGCCCTCCTTGTGACTGGCCCATGCCCCGCTTTTTCCTTTCTTCTTCGATGTCTTAATGCGCCCGGCCTGGTCTTTGCCCCGCAATCTCGCCATGTACGCAGCCTGCTTTGCTTTCTCCCGAGATATCACCATGTAAGCGGCCTGCTTTGTCTTTGCGTGTCCAGGTGCAATTTCTGTCTGTCGCCTTGATGGTTCATGACTGCGTGTCTTGTGGCGAAATCTCGCCATGTACTTGGCCTGCTTTGTCTGTGTATCCATTTCATGTGCGATCCACAAAATCGCAATGCACTATCAAAGAAACGTGAGCACTGCACGCGCTCTACCTACGTGCACAGCTCTACCATCCGACTGTCCCCTTCATGATTCCTCGGTCGCCATGGATTATTGTACACGGCTTCCAGCCGTGCAACTGTACACCATTGAGATATTGGAAAGGTATACACACACCTTAAAAGTAATGAAGTACATGAGTAGAGAGAGTGAGTGCAATACACTCTCTATCTGATAATGTGAGTACACGACTGAGGTAACATGTCTACCGTCCCTTCATCATTCCTCATTCACCATCGCGCGATACCCTGGCACACAGTGAGTGCGTTCGATTACACACTTGAATCGATTCATGAATCCATTCATGAATCGATTCAAGTGCGTAATTTCTTCCAAGTAATCGAACGGCGTGAACATGGTGAATTGCAATGAGGCTTTTGGTCACGTGGTTATGACGTTGAACAAAAGGTCAAAAGGGCCGTAAGTCGTTGATTGCACGAAGAAAAAAACCTGCAGTTTGATACTGACTTTCTTCTCGTCCCTTTTCTTTCACATGTACTTGTACATGATGTAGTCACTTTCGCATATAGAAGATTCCATGTTTACTTTGACGCTAAGTGGTGCCTGAAAAATGGACAATGCGAGGCATTCCCTTGGATCTGGACGCTGTTTGATGATGACGAGACAGAAGAAATGCTGTTCCCTGCTCGGTGCGAGATTGCTCCGCTTATGATGTTCCTTGCTTGTTACCGGAGCGCAGCAGCGCCAAGAGTAACAAATTTTGCTGAAGCAACTGTGCTCAGTTATTCTATAAACGATTTTCGCCAGCATTTTCTTCTCCCTCCTTTTTTTTTTACTATTGACACAGCCCTACTGGAAAACAGGTGGAGAACAAAAAGAAACGAGGAAAAGGACAAAACATAGGGGATGTAGGGACGACGTGCAACCGACCAGAGGTCTCGGCGTCAGCGTTGCAACTAGGCATCGAAAAATGGGGGGGGGGGGGTTGCAAAGGAACAACTGCAAAACAAACAGAAGCTAGAGAATACCACAAAAATAATACCTTGGTGCGAAATAATGAGAAGAAATAATGACGCCCAAAAGCGCTAAATACGAAATTAAGAAAAAGGAAAATCATAAACCACATAGTGCTAAAGCTGCACCAAATAATAATTTAAATTATAACTAAACCGGGTGGAAAACCAAGAAATCATAACAAACAAAACAAACTAATAATAAAAGGTAAATGAAGCCCGATATCATCAGCCTTTATCTTGCCTTTCCCCTATTTTGTTGCTGGAAGAGGTTTGGTGGTGTTGTGTGCATGTGGCGGACCAGCTTATAGTGCGTTTCAAAAGTCCAGACCTCTGGTTTCAAAAAACCGTTAGGCCAGCATCTATACCACATAAAATCTGTGATCATTTTGTGCATAAAAATTTCGAAATTGGGCGTCTGTTATCCAATTGCTTAGAGAAAAATTGCGTGAGCTGCCTGAGCAATATTCCGAAGAAATTTCTCTAAAAGCTCGAACCAAACTAAATTTGAATTATTCAAAAAAGTCTAAACTTTTGAAACGCACTATTACCGTCATGACTTTTCAACACGTGGCTTCTTTTCTCGCCACTGCGTTGCCCGGGTGAACCAGAATCGCCCCTGGCTAGCATGGCTATTCACATCATGGAATCGATTCCGGTCCAGGGCTCATGACATGAAAATCGAACGACTTGAATGCATGCGAATGGATTCATGAACGCACTCACTTGCAACATATCAAGGGGTGCCTTACCGGTCCGTCGTCTAGCGAGAGCCGTAGAGGGACGTCTTCGCAGCAATTTTTTCGTCCTGCGCCTTCAGTCCACCGACGCGACGCGACAGCGTTTACGGGGCCGTTCCAGTTGCAGAAGATATTCGATTCATCGGGCCAGTGCAGCAACAGGGCCGTAGGCACACAGGGGCAGAGGAGAGACATTGTGAGTAGACAAGAAATATGCAGTGGCAAGTGCCATGAATGTCAAGTTCTCAGTTTTGATTGAGCTATTACTTACAGTCCTGCCATTGCTCGCTCGTCGTGATTCCTTCTCGTTCGTCTTCGTCCACTTCTGCAGTTCTCCTTCCCGTCACGGCGTCAGGCCAGTGCATTCTCAATGGCACTTTTCGGGACGGGGGTACCGGAAGGAGTTCGCACGATGCCTCGAAAGGCCTAGAGCGGACGTTTTGGCAGCAATATTTTTCGTTTCGGTCTGCGCATTCAATCGGCGGACGGGACAGCGTTTTACGGGGCCGTTCCAGTTGAAGAAG